CATGAAAGGTAGTCAGTGTATCAGAATGAAATGTAGAAGAAAGAGTTTAATGGCATAGAAATCTCTGAGCCAACCTCCAAAGCAGCATCCTTGTCATCAGTACCCAAATGTACAGGACTTGACTGAATAAAAGTAATGGAAACGTCATTCAATTGGGTGAATGTTGTTGAAGCTATTTGAACATTTGCTCTTACACTCTTATTTTTAAAATTCACTTAGGGTTGCTGTGTTTTTGCATGGTTTCAGGAGTTTGCCTGGCTGGGCCAGTGAAGGAATGAAGAAAAGACACAGACAAGCTGTAGACGGGTAGACTGGGCTTTCTAATGGAGAAACTGCAGCACTTGGGAAGCTCAGCAGTTACTACATACAGTTAACAGGGAGGCAGGGATACTGCATACAGCTAAACAAGGAGACAGGATTTATGGTATACAGCTGAATTGAGGAAATAGGGTTAGCTAATCTTATAAGAGCAGTCTCATAGAGGACAGTCTTCAGTTCATGAACATGGAGGTGTGGGGGAAACTAGCTTGGATATTTTATGCACATTATCAACACTATCAATACACTTGAATCAGGAGGGAAAGCTTTGCAATTTCCTGTGGGTCTAAGGCATTAGGGTCCTTGACATGGCTATTCTGATGTTTTTGTTGTTTTGGTTTCTTTTTGAAGACAGGGTCTTATGTAGCCAAGGATGGCCTTGAACTCCTAATCCTTCTCTACCTACCTCCTAAGTGCTGAAATTACAGGTGTGTGCCCCTCCTGGTTTGGTATCAGTTTTGATCCAGGTTCTATAGGATCATTTTGATCATCTGCATTGTTTCCTATAGCAGCTGTACTATTTTGTATTATCTTTGCAATGTACAAGACTATACTGGCTCTTCCATGTCTTGTATCCTCATCAGCACTGTGTCTGTGGCCATCCTTCTGCCTGTGTCTGCCTAGTGCTTGGATTATAGGCTTGTGCACCCAGTTTATGGAGTGTTGGAGGTTGAACCTAGGTCTGCATGCATGCAGAATAATCACTTCACCAACTGAACCACATCCCCACATTTTTTCTTTCTTTCATTATCACAATATGATACAGTTATTGAAGGTGTTAGTAAATGAATAAGAACTTCTTTGCACATGTAAGTACCCATGTATTTTCAGAGTATTTCCAAACTACAGCCCTGCCCTGTAGTTGAGATGGATGTTCTTGCTGAGAGCAGTCTGTTGTTGAAGAACTTGACACAGAAGACTTAATAGGATTAGCCAGTGAGAGTCACTAGTAGAGAGTGATTAAACTTGTCCTCTGGCTCTTGGCTTAGTGTGTGTTTGTCTTGCTCCTGTAGTTACAGAAGGTGGTGTGGATGTGCTTTTGATTTCTCAGAACTTTGTGAGCTTTCCTGTTGAAAATTTGAGAGGCTGCTTGTGGAGAGGAACAGGGAATGTTGAATTAGTTTCTGCTCCAAGCTACAGTAGAATTTACATGTAGCTCTGGCTGGTTTTCCAAGGGACTAAGATGGCTGAGCTTAGAAGACTGAGTTTAGCACCTCACCTTGATCCTTTGCTTGAAACCTGGCTGAGAATTAGCAGACCTGTGCTTAGTACAATGACAGAGCCCACACGCTGGGTCGCTGTTGCGTCTTAATGTGGTCAAACATGAGAAAAGGAAGGTTAGATGGGGTTGACACAATTTTAAGAGACACAGGATTATTAAAAATAGAATGCAGCTCTATAATAATATCTTAGTTGTAAGGTTATATTTTGTTAATTACAAATGAATTATTATATAAAAGGTAAATCATGTAGATGTTTTTAATTATGGCTCAAGAAAATTTGGGATTTACAGATTTTTTTGTTGTTTGTTACTACTATCATGATTCTTGTGCTCCATAAAGTCTGTCTCTGTGTGCTACATATAATGAAAGATTGCTTAGTAGCTGATCAGTCATTAGCAGACCACTCTTATTGATGACATGTTTCTTTAAAGTAGTCAGTGAGAACCAAAGCTTTTCAATCCTGTAAAAGAGCAACTATTGTTTATTGAAGGTATCTTTTAGTGAAATTTGCTTTATTTAACATTCAAATAGTTTTTTGCTTAAAAGAACTTTATTGTTATATAAGAGAAAGCAAGCATGAGCATCTGCTGTCTTGGCACAGAGCTCAAGTGCCTTGGTACACGTGGAGGTCAGAGGACAAAGTTGCAGAACGGTCCCCTTCTGCCTTTAAGTGGATTCCAGAGATTGAGCTTAGGCAGGGCGTCAGACTTGCAAGTGCTTTTACTTGCTGAATGATCTTGCCAGCACGAATTGTTTTTGTTTTTGTTTTTGTTTTTGAGATAGGGTATCTCTATATATAGTCCTAGCTGTCATGGAACTCACTCTGTAGACCAGGCTGGCCTCAAACTCAGAGATCCCCTTGCTTCTGCCTCCCAAGTGCTGGAATTAAAAGCATGTGCCACTGCATCTGACTCATTATTTTTTAAAACATTGTTTTAAGAGTAGAAAAGTTAGATTCCTAAGTTCTGGCCATAGTAATTTTATCTGTTTTTCTTTTTTAAAAACATATTCTACATTAAGAATTACTTGGAGGTATAAATAGTATTTGAAATATCTTTGATTACAAAAATATTTGAGAATTACAAATAAAAAATTGAATTACCTTAGTTCTTTACATTATTTTGATATGGTCTATACCTTCATGTACATGTTCCCCTCACGGTGTCATGTCATCTCTGTGCTATACTCATCACACCATATTGCATCATGCAGTAGTTAATAATTATGTTTCATTACTGACCTTTCACATAATAAAAAAAATTACCTTTAATAAAATGGCACTAAAGCTAGAAAAAGATAAATGAGTTGCTTTTCTGTTTCATGAGGTATAGAGCCTTTATTTCTTTTCCTCAGATGATCTGTTCTGAACACTGAAAGCTCTCCTACCTGCTTTATTATGACTTTCAAAGTCACATAAAAGAGAATAGCCAGTAGGCTATTTTTGAAGTAAATGATAATGTCATCAGTCAATCTTTCCATTTGTTTTCTGAGAAGGTAATCAGCCTTTCAGACAGGTGCTGTGTTGACTGTAGCTGGTGCCTGTGAGGAGATGAGTTCACTCACATTGATGACTCTTGGTTGTCTGCTGCTTTTTCTTTGCACTGTTCAGGCTACCTTCCTTGGGGTTTCATTCTTTCTCTCCACAAGGGGGCAGGTAAAGGAAGAGGGACATGCTAAATGAGCCTGTTCAGGGTTTCACTTTTGCTAGTCAAAATTGCAGTTTGGGAATGACTTCAGAAGCAGTGAGTTCCTTTCTTAAGACAACTCAATGCCCTCTCCACCCACGTAAAGGGTTTCTCTGTGTAGACCAGGCTGACTTTGAACTCAGATCCATTGCCCTCTGCTGGGATTAAAGATGTACACCACCACTGCCTGGCTGACAAAAAAACATTCTCACAAGCAACCATCTTTTAAAAAATGGTTACCTCCAGGCAGTGGTGGCACACGCCTTTAATTCCAGCACTTAGGAGGCAGAGAGGATCTCTGTGAGTTCGAGGCCAGCCTAGTCTATAGAGCGAGATCCAGGACAGGCACCAGACTACACAGAGAAACCCTGTCTGAAAAAAAAAGTTACCAAAACCTTGTTACAGTGTTACAGCCTTCAATTTTCTCTGCAAATAATTTCTCTCTAAAAATACTGAGTTGGGTTTAAAGAAATGATAGCATTTGAATATATGCCTGATTTTTTTTTGCAGAGTGTCATCTTAGACACGTATATCAAGATTTCTCACTGAATGAGAATTTTGCCTAGTTCAGACTTTGTTTCCCAATGGAAGGGGCAGAACTTACTGTCTCCGTTGAAGGGAGGCTCTCATTTCTTTTTTTTTTTTTTTTTTTTTTGGTTTTTCGAGACAGGGTTTCTCTGTGTAGCTTTGCGCCTTTCCTGGAACTCGCTTTGGAGACCAGGCTGGCCTCGAACTCACAAAGATCCGCCTGGCTCTGCCTCCCGAGTGCTGGGATTAAAGGCGTGCGCCACCACCGCCCGGCTCATTTCTTAAAGCCTCAGTTACTATGGCCATGCCATTGAGTAAATTACATTCATCATCATCTACAAATGTATATTTATGATGGTTAATTTATTTACAGAAAATTTATTCTATTTGAAACATATTTGATGTTGAATACCTCAACATCTTATATACTGTTTGAGTCTATGGGAAATTTTGTTTATTCACTTTGTGTGTGTATATATATATGCTCATGTATATTGGTGTACATGTGTATATGTGTATGTTTGTGTAGAGGACAGAGAACAACTTCAGAAGTCATTCCTTGGGAGCTGTCCATATTGTTTGAGACAGGGTCTCTCACTGGCCTGGAGCTTACCAAGTAGGCTAGCTGGCTGACTAATGAGTCCCGGGGATCCAGGCCTTTTTGCCTCCCTCAAGCCTATGAGGATTTTAAATAAACATCTGTTTTCTGTCAACTGCTTAATTCTTTGTTTTGACTTGATGTTGGGCTACTGTGATCTCAGTTTTTCAGCGTGAGGCGTAGTTACTCTTTCATGTTCTTTTACTGTGAACAAATGTCTCTTGGGAAAACTGCTGTTTTTCCCTATAATCTGTGTGAGACACATTTTGCTGTTTAAGATATTGGGGGAAGTGATGGAACAAATTTGCAGACATTGATTCTTTATGTTTAGCTTCTGGTGTCTGTTTTTAAGTTGTGTTTTATTTTCTGTTGCCTCTATTAAGATCTCTGATTGTCAAAGTTTCTCTATCCCCACGGCGTGGTACACATAATGACTAAAACAGTTATCTTACATTCCTATAGCATTCTTTTTTTCAGCACTTAATGCCTTTTATTCCTTAGCTTCATGCATGAATTATGTAGCATATGTGAAGAGGCTTAAACAGTTTCCATTGCATTCTTTCTGGCTAGCTGCTGTTATATTTAGGGTATACTTATAGTTTAGACAAAGTAAGAATGTTATTGTTGTTGACCTTGACACTAGATAACTGGGCAGACATTATATAGCTATGTTCGAATCCTCACAAAATGTGCTGTTGAAGCCAACAGAGTCCTGGCGGGAGACTCTTCTGGACAGCAGAGTTATGGAACTTTTCTTCACAGTAAGTCCTAGGCTTTGTCTCTGGCAGCAGGGGACAGGATAAGAGGAAATGCCTTTGTTTTCTTAAGTGAAACAGGACAGATTTCTTTGGTTCCTGTTGGTTTTCCTTCTCATTAGCTGACCTGCTGAAGGAGAATTCTATGACAAATCTTGCTAATGTACAAATACTATCCCATTATGAAGGACTTAGGTCCCACAGCAGAACTTCCTAGACTTGGTAATCGCAGGACTCCTTTACACTCTTAAAATTCAGAATTTCCTACTAGCTTTTGTTTATGTGGGTTATATAGCTGTTGTTGTATAATATAGCTATTATCCCATTACAAATTCAAACAGATAGAAGCAAAAGAAGATAATGGCATGAGTTTGGTCTTTTTGACTAAAAAATAAACAGAAAATTTCAGACTGAAAACTTTAAAAAATACTTTATTTCGCTAAAAATACCGACAAACTGTTACATTGTAATATAAATAACTTTAGTGAATAAATACGTTAAAAACGAGTATAGTAAAAATGACTGGGTTTTGGTTTTGTTTGCTTTACATTTTTGCAAATCTCTTTTAATAAAAGACAACAAGATTTTCCTGTTTTATATTTCATTCAGTTGGAATTTTAAATCATGTGACCCCAGGAAAAGCTGTCTGTGTGTATGTCTACATAAGGAAGAGCAGAAATGCATTAGTGTTCTTATGGACACTGCGGCAGCTTAGGAAGTGGAGAGTTCCCTGGACTACACTTTGAAAACTGCTCCCCTAGTGGGCTATACTCATAATTTGTAAGACCTGAGCTGAGTTAATATTTAAGAGCAATTTATCTTAAATATTTCAATTATAACTTTAAACAGGCCTCTTAGTACCTACAAGAAGCAAGCAGTATATTCCCAATGTGCCATTGAGTTTTAGAATTAAAAAGTACATGTATGTGTGTATTGGATGCTAATTTGCAATTACAGAGTAAGTGTGTAGTTAAATCAGTGACTTACACAAAATAAAAACCACTAAAATCTAGTTAAATACCACTTAAAAAGAAAAGAATAAGACAATTTTGTTCAATCTGAATCGTTATAGTTCCTTACCTTATGTGTTTTGAAGTATGAACAAGCCTTTTGTGAATGAACTATTTAAAATGTGTCAGTACTGTGGTATATATTTTAAAATGTTGAAAGCACATTTGTCCATCCTTAGTCATACAGAAACAGTCGTTTTCTGCCGTAGTGGCTTGTTTAGGAGTTCTGGAGATTGTGCTGGGGTCTTGTGCATGCCTGACAAGCACTGTGCCACTAAGGCTCATCTCTGCCCTTCATAAAAGATGTTTTCTATGGAAATAAATGTTCAATCTGAGCATTAATCACCTTATATTTTCCTTTTTAAAACCAGAGGGAAAAAAATCTGAAAACATAAGCAAGATCAAATGGTACTTGCAATTAAATTTTTAGGACTTTGTGGGCTGCCTCATCTGGCAGGAATTGTTTTGATCTGAGTCCAAGTTCAGTTCTTTGTATTTGCTCGACAGAAAGTAGGTCCCACTGCAGCCGCTTGTGAAAAGGTGAAAAACTGTTGGCAATGCTGCCAACAACTCTGCTTGGTCTGAACAGCTGTCTAGACGGCAGACAGCTGCTCTTGTCAGCTGTGAACTAATCGCATGCAAATAACTGTGAATCCAAAGTTAACCCTTTCCAGCTTGGTTGTTTTAGCAGTTTATAAACAATTTTAATTTGCAGCAAAAGCCACAGCTTAATCTTTCTATTTGAGTTTTGCTAAATTTCTCTTCACTTATATGGATTAATTACCAAATTTAATCTTTTTTCCATTAGATTTCATTATTATGCTAGATTTCTGTAGATAAATATACTAGAGTAAAGACTTAAATTTATTGACTGTTTGAAATGTAAATGATTTTGGTTGCATTCTGTTCTTCAGAAGTTCACAAAGTTGTCAGTTTTCCTTTTCTTCCTACTCTTTTGGACAAAACTTTCCTGATTGTGATTCTGGTGTTTTGCCCTCCAGATATTGCCATTCTTAGCTCTCTGCTCTGCTGTCTCTTCCACACATAGCACGTCAGGCGCCACCTCACCTATGACTTTTTCACACTCTCCCAGCCTCATAATCTGCATGGTTACTGGGCGTTTCAGTGTGAATGGCACACTGGCATCTGATGTTTGAACAGACTTCAGTAGAAATCTGTCTGTCTTGCTAACTTGTGCCTTGTGTGCTTATTTGATGGTAGCCTTTCCATTTGCCTCCCTGGGTGTGTCTGTCTGTCTCTCCTCCCCTTGCTTCCTTTCTGTATGGAGGTGGTTGATCTGTTTTTTAATTGTATGATACTGTTTAGAGTGAAATCCGTGTTTAATTATGAAGGGAATGCTTTCTCAGTGCTAAAATTGGCAGATCATGAATCTATAAATGGCAAGAATTACTTGTTTAATATGAGTTTTATGTGACTCCTATTTCAGAAAACAAATTAGTCCTTGGTCCCAGGACAGCTTTTCATTTAGTTTTGTTTTTATATTATCAACACTAGCTCTCTCATTAAGCACATTTTTTCTTTTGTGTTTTCATTTCTGGTCCAGGATTGACTAGCAGAGGCTTCTATGTGGAGCAGATCATGTGACAAGTTTCTCTTGTCCCAGCCTGCACTGTACGTTTTGGTAGAATCTAGCCCTAGGCATCTCAGTGAACTTTTGATTAGGTTAAGTTTCAAAGGATGACAACACAGATTTAATTGTGTTTTTAAGATAAAGAGCTTAAAAGAATGTATTCAAGAGTATGCAACCAAAATGTGCATACAATTTTGTGTGTTGTACTTTGTAAAGCTTAAACTACATTTGGTTTGAGTACTTTTCATGTTTGCTTGCATGCCAGAAGAGAGCATCAGATCCCATTATAGATGGTTGTGAGCCACCATGTGGTTGCTAGGAATTGAACTCAGGACCCCTAGAAGAGCAGCCAGTGCTCTCAACCTCTGAGCCATCTCTCCAGCCCCTTAAACTACATTTTTATATAGGTTGAAAAATGTTTCTGTTCCAGACCAGGGATTGGCAAACTCTATGTGCTATCAAGGACCACAGTGAATTTTAGGCTCTGTATTTATATATATATATATGGTTGTATTCAACTCTGTCATTGTAGTGAGGAGCCCTAAATTAAAAATAAACAATCAAGCAAAATACTGATATTCCAGTAAAACTTTGCTGATAGTTGTTAAAATCAAGAACTTTTGTATAATCCTCTTTTGTTTTTTTTTTTTTTTCCCCCTCAACTGTAAACTCGAGAAAAGTCCTAACCTCTACATCCACTCAGACACAGGCAGGAAACCAGTTTTGGCTCATGGGTCAATGGCTTGCCAACCCTTGTTCTAGACCAGAGTATGACATATTTTAAGCCTATTAGTAAGTCATCTAACCATAATTTTTAGAGCTGTTATACTGGTTTAAATTTCTTTATTTGATTTTAAGAAGCCAAGAGGCTAAGGTTAGTGGAACCAGTTAACAAGGATTTACTCTGTTCACTGTGTCCCATACTGTACCAGTGAATGCATTTAAAAAACAGACACATCCTGTGTCAAGTAATTCATAAATGATTGACAAAGTCAAAGCCAACATAACCTGAAACAAATAGAGAACAATGGTTCAAAAAAGAAAGAGGAGGGCTACAGTGCTTCAGTTAGATGCCTGTGGGAAATAGCAAATGGCCAGTGCATGAAGATGAATAGGCACTTCATATTCCTTCCTGGCATTTCCTGTTCTGTTTTAATGTCAGAACATAGAAATGAAATCTTTAATATCTGAAAATTTAGTAATGCTGAAGTTAAGCGATATTTGGAGAACTTTTCTTTAGCTAAAACACTGTAGTAGGTGTGTATCAATATTACATCATTGAAGTAAGATCTAGTTGCATGTTTAAATGGATTTATGTATTAAATACAAATTTTATTTTAACATTTAGTATTAATTACAATGGTGTGAGATAAAGTGAAATTCAAAAAGATCACACGATCTCAAAATTTAAGCATATGTTCAATGTCTGTGAGTAGGTGATATCTAGGATGGGTGATAGGTACATTTGTTGGTTTTTGAAGTGTGCAACTGTTTGCTTCCACTAAAGCCGCATCTATATACTAGGTTGAACTTGTCTGCTAACTTTAGCAAGAAGCTGTGGTGAGGCATAGTTAGCATAATACAGATGACTGTCGTCGTTGCTGTTTTTAGCAGAAGCAGTATGTCTGACTGGCTAGCATCTGTTTTCTCTCCTTGTCATAATATGCTGGAGACAGTTCAATTTTTAAAATGCAGGTAGCCCTCAAGTAAAAATTCATTGATATGTTTAAAATCATGACCTATAATGTCAGTTGAACTGGAGGATGATTTTCAGGTTTTGTTTAACTGAGGAGTTAATTTTCTAGAAATGACCAGCTACAGTGAATTTTTCTCTTACCTCATTCGACATGGTTCGCACGTGACCCCTACAAAAGAAGAATTTGTTTTTATGGATTAGTAATTCTTTCTAACAGGTACATCGAAAAATCCGAGAAGATTCAGATATGGCACAGGATTCTCTGCAGTGCCTTGCCCAGTTAGCGTCTCTGCATGGACCCATCTTCCCCGATGAAGGATCCCAGGTTGATTATCTAGCACACTTCATTGAGGGATTGCTGAACACTATCAATGGGTAGGTATGCTCGTCCTTTTGAACTGCAGAGGGAACCTTCCCTTTTCCTCTGGTATTTAATAGGAGGGGAAAAAGAAACTAAGGCTTTTCCTGTTCTGTTTTGAAGTAGAGTTGTAAGACTAATTTAAAATGAATGGTGATAATATTTTTGTGTTTGGAAATATAGCTTATCTTATACTACTTAATAATCCTCATGGTTTGATTTGTAGAATTGAAATAGAAGATTCTGAAGCTGTGGGAATCTCCAGCATAATCAGCAATCTGATAACTGTGTTCCCTCGGAATGTTTTAACTGCCATCCCCAGCGAACTTTTCTCCTCCTTCGTTAACTGCCTCACACATCTCACTTGTTCTTTTGGGCGAAGTGCTGCGTTGGAAGAAGTGGTGAGTGACTGTTCTAAGTCATGGGACATTTGTGCTCCCTTTAGAACACTGTCTCATGATAGTTATTTTAATTAAGTACTAGGAGCTATTGTTAAAATTACATTTTTATATGTAAATTAGTGGCAGTGTGTATGGAAACATTACCTAAATTTTTTGGATTTAAATTAGTCTTGGAAATTATAATTTTGAGATAATTAGAATGAAATGTTTTTGTTAAATTATGATAAATACCTCATTGTTTAACAAGTCTACCAAGTACTACTAAATAACTTCATGGTTGGATGTAATTAAATGTAATTAAATTTTATCTATGTTATTTTGATATTTTTATTTAGGACTTATTTGGAAATTATGTGATGTGTATTATTTAGAAGTGTTTTGGTAAGCTCTAATTTACATTCAAATTAAGACTGGTAGTAATGCGAATGATTTTTTGGGGACAAGTACAAATTTTCAGATGCTTTCCAATTTTTAGGAAATACATACTAAAACCCCTTGACAACACTGTTGCTTTGTAACAGTTACTGTGACTAATAACTACAGTAATCATTGGAAATAATGGACTTATTTCTACAAAGTAGTGACTTTAATTGTTGAAATTGGCTTTTCTTGTTATAAATTAAAAGGAGATTCTTTTAGAAACAATTTTAAGAGAGAAAAAACTATTTGTAAATACCTCTTAGGATTTCATGTTAAATCATGAGTTTACATTAAGATGTAAGCTCTGGCAATACTTTTTGTTTGGCAGTTTGTAAAGCTTCCAAAGTGCTCAAAGAATTAGGAATCTGGGAATGATTATGTTTATATAATTAGGTTCTTTTAGGATGTAGTGAGAGGTTATATGATTGAAAGCTATATATTAGATGAGTAGAAGTTCTTAGACATCATATGTGGGATTTGCATTTCTCAGGATGGTAATTTCTGTTCTCAACATGAAAGTCCATATTGAATTAAGTGTCTCAGCTTTAGTGAAAGCCCTTTCACAGGCTCAGACTCTGGAGTGTAGTTTCATGTAACATGGCTTCATTGTGTTCTCCTCTTGATTTTTCTCTTTTGAATGAGATGGAGTCAGGATTTAGCATTTTGATCATCTCTTTAGACACAAAGACCTTCATCTTCTCTTAAGAGGGCTCTTATATTTAGCAGACTGGCTAGAAGATATGTAATATTTTTGGTTTGAAAATTTTATCTTTGAAATTTATTTTGAGCAGGAGACTTTCTGTCAAAATTTGGTGTAGGAGAGTAGGAATATAAGTTGGATATTTCTTATGCTTTTCTCATGAGAAGACATGCTGTGCTCAAAGATATACCTAATAGGTTGAAGAAAACGTCTGTTTATGTTTATTCTCTCAGTTTATCTGTTTATATTTAATAATTATTTTTAAAGGCAACTGGCTACCAATTCTATAGGACAGAAAGAAGAGAAAAGCTGAAGCTGTCCATTAATTGTGGAGGGTACATTAGGGGTGCCTGGGGAGGTGGAAGGTTGGGAGTTGGCCCTTTCATATGACTTGCATGATTGCTAAACAGATTTCCCTAAGTGGCACTTAAAAATTCATGTTTAGTCATCTTGTACATTCTGGGGAATATTCAGCTGATAGCTGAAGGTCGTGAACAAACCCAGCCAAGACAGAGTGATTAAAGGATTGCCATAAGGGTTCTTATTTATGTCTTCTTCTGTTTTCCTAGCTACCAGGAAATTGTAGTACATAGTTCAACAATACGTTTTGTCCTGAGATAAAAAACAAATCATCTTTGAAGGAAATTTGGAAAAATTGAGCATATAAATAGCTAAGGAGTCCACATGATGTGGAATGATGATATTTTTGGTTACTTTTTCAACTTCATTTAGTATGTTTCCTCCTTGGCAAAATCAAGGAGGCAGGTGTTTTTGTTTTTGTGATACTTCCTCCCCCTGCGCGGCCCCCCCCCCCCCCCCCCCCCCCCCCCCCCCGTTTGTCTGTCTGTTTTGTGGTGGAACGAATGAATGAATTTTGAGAGGGTCTGAATATGTAGCAAGAGTCTCATTCTGTTTCCAGCCTCCACCTGTACCTACCAGTGCTGGGATAACAAATGTGTGCTACCTACCATACCTGGCTTCCTTCTGAGAGAATAATGCCTGTTTGAGGTCAGCGTTTACTCAATGAGACTGAGTCGTCCCCCCCCCCCTTTTTTTTTTTTTTTTTGGTTTTTCGAGACAGGGTTTCTCTGTGTAGCTTTGCGCCTTTCCTTGAACTCGCTTTAAAGGAGAGAGCAGAGAGCAGCAATTGCTCGAGGAGACGGTGTTGGTGCATCTAGCTGTGTGTAATAACTTGAACTCTGTTGTGGATAATTGATTGAGGAATCTCCCCACCCTGTGATTATGATAGCTGAGAAGGCACACACTGATGACATTGTTTCCCCTGCCCACTCAGGCTTGCATTTCCTCAGCCTACAGAATTGTAGGAAAAGCTGAAATATGAGACACAGGGATACTTTTTAAGCTTTGCATGGTGAAAGAATATTTCTTTCCAAAAATAATAATAAGTTTGGCTCTATAAGAATATTTAAATACAGATTATTATTTAAAAGTATTTTAAGAATTCCTTGCAAGGCTGGGTGTGGTGGTGCTCATCTTTAATCCTACATTCAGGAGGCAGATTGGCTCCAGGACAGCCAGTGCTATTCAGAAAAACCCTATCTTGGAAAAACAACAACAACAACAAAGAATTGCTTGTTTTGTTTAACTCAGGTTGGATCACAAATCTTACTATGCAATATTTTTTGACTTGGATATGAATCGATTTTAATGTTTTAAATAGGTGTTTTAAGTCTTGTAAGAATGTATTCATTGTGCTAGTATGTGTCATTAGAGTAAAACTTATTTACTGTCTGTATTCTTTAATATAGTATTGTTTTATTTTTAAATGTTTTATTTATTTTATGTTCGTTGGTGTTTTGCCTGCATGTATGTCTGTGTGAGGGTGTCAGGTCTCTGGGAACTGGAGTTACAGACAGTTGTGAGCTGCCATGTGGGTGCTGGAATTGAAAGCAGCCAGTGTTCTTAACCGCTGAGCCATCTCTCTAGCCTATCTGTCTTGAAACAAAAAGTTATTATTACTGTATTTAACTTAAACAATACACACCTAGAAAAGAACCTAAATACAACAGACAAATAACAACATAAAAAATATGGTTCTTGGAGTCTTGTGTTTATTGATGTGTTCATTAGTGTTATACTGTGGGATGCAAATACTGTTTGGTGTGCCATTGTGCAAGGGCTTGTGCCAGTACCTATATACTTTAAACATTGTGAAATATTTTCCTCATATGAAGTATACATTTTGTTTTTAAATATAAAAATAGTATAGAAGGAACAAGTCTGTATCGCCCACTCAGACTAAGGAACTGTATACCAAGTGTGGCATGATGGCTCATGTCGATAATCTCAGCACTCAGAGGGTTAGGGCAGCAAGATGGTAAGTTTGAGGTTAGTCAGGACTTGACAGCAAAGAAACAGTGTGTTGTCAGAGCCACTTTCTCACCTCATCTGTGGGGTGGATGGTTCCCTGCTCCCATCCTGCTCCATGATCAGGTTTCTGTTATATAACTTGCTATAAGTAGATGCTACAAGTAGATGCTGCTAGTGAATTTCCCAGCCAGTGTACCTGGAAGTTTATCTTACTCTCTGTCATCTGTGATAGTTGACCTTTTCTTTTCTCAAAGTTCTTACAGGCTGGAAATAGGAAATTCTGGAGTTCAGTAAGTCTAAGGAGCTCCTTAGAAGTTATCCTTAAATATAAAAGTCTCTGTGAAACTAATTGTTTGCATCAATTTCGTTGCATATTTTTATGTACACAAACCATACTTACTTAGGAAATTAGTCTGGAGCTGTGTGGTGGTTTGAATAAGAATGGCCCCCATGAGCACATGTGTTGAAGTTCTTAGTCATCAAAAACCACTACTTCTGAGGGATTAGGAGGTGTGTCACTGGGGGTGGGCTCCAAGGTTTTAAAAAGCACAAGCCAAGCCCAGTGGCTCTCTCTTCCTCTATCTGCGGATCCAGGTGTAGAACTGTCACCTACTTCTATAGCACCTTGTCTGCCTGCATGCTGTCATACTCCCACCATGATAATGGGCCAAACCTCTGAAACCCTAAGTCAGCCCCAATTAAAAGCTTTGTTTGTAAGAGTTGCCATGGTCACAGTGTCTCTTCCCAGCAACAGAACTCTAGGACAGGCTGGGAATGTAACTCAATGTATGAGCACTTGCCTATCATGCCTGCAGCCCTGAGTTCACCTTCTATTACTATGAAAATGGGGTGGGGGTGAATAAAGGAAGTAAAAGACATTTGGTATTCAATAGAACGTGCTTTCTTTTTTTTTTTGTTTTTTTCGAGACAGGGTTTCTCTGTGTAGCTTTGCGCCTTTCCTGGAACTCGCTTTGGAGACCAGGCTGGCCTCGAACTCACAGAGATCCGCCTGGCTCTGCCTCCCGAGTGCTGGGATTAAAGGGATAGCTCAGCCGTTAAAGGCTAGGCTCACAACCAAAAATATAAGAACGTGCTTTCTAAGCCGGGTGGTGGTGGCAGTGGCGGCGGCGCACGCCTTTAATCCCAGCACTCAGGAGGCAGATGCAGGCGGATCTCTGTGAGTTCGAGGCCAGCCTGGGCTACAGAGTGAGTTCCAGGAAAGGCGCAAAGCTACACAGAGAAGCCCTATCTTGAAAAACCAAAAAAAAAAAAAAAAAAAGGAAAAAAAAAGTGCTTTCTAGCCGGGATCTCTGAAATCTAGGCTAGCCTGGTCTGTTTAACAAACTCCAGGACAGCTTACAGGGCTTCATAGACCCTCTCTCAAAAAAGAAGAAGGTGCTTTCTGATTTCTTGGAGAAAATTTGGAGTTGTCACATTGGTTATTTACTCTCTGTGGGGAAAAGCACAGGGGTATGGGTTGGGGATAGTGTCATTACTATTAGGGATAGATTTGGAGTTGTTTGAAGATTATAGGCAAATTTGTAACTACCTTAGTATGATATTTATTTGTATATTTTCAAAATAGCTGATACTAGAATAATATAAATAGGTAGCACTATAAAGACTACATTTAATGCACCTTTAGGTTCACAGTGAAAATACAGAATGATCTCATACACTCCTCCCCTTACCATCAATCTGCCCCATCAAGCCTGTAGCAGGGTGGTATATGGATTATTATTGCTGCACCTGTATTGGTACACGGTTGTCATAAACCCAGAGTTCGTGGGTTCCATAGAGTTTATTTCTGATGGTGTAAATTCTTTATTTTATTTTATTTAGTGATTTTTTTTTAGACAAGATCTAAATGTAGGTCTCTGTAGTACTGGCTGTCCTGGAACTCACTATGTTGAGCAGGGTGTCTTAGAACTCACAGAGATCAATTTAACTCTGCCTCCCGAGTGTAGGGACTAAAGGCATGCGACACCACCGCCCAGCTCTAGTTCCTGATTTTTAGTACAACATCTAAAATAGAAATAAGGGACTAGTGAGATGGCTTAGTGTGGGTAAAGGTAGTTTGACTGCTGTCAAAATCCTGTGTGCGTCACCTGCTTATCCTTCTACATACACCAGGCTGTGGAAACCACTGGAGGATGTATCATCCTCCCCTCCCCTCTCCCCACTTCTTTCTCTGCCCCTGCCTCCCAAATGGTGGAATTTAAATGTGTGCACCACCATGTCCAGCCCTACTCCTCTTATTATTGTCCCTATAATCTTGCCATCCTCAGAGTTTCCTCTACTTGGAGTCTTACAATACTGTTAATCTCTGAAATTATATTCATTGTCAGGCATGGGCCAGAGCAGATTGCTGTACTGAAAAATTTCTTTCCAGACATTCACTTGAGAGAACGTTTTGTTATTTTTGGAATTATATATTCAAAATTATCAAAGCATAAATGTACATTTTTTTGTTTTTGTTTTTTTCTGTGTCTGATGCACTGCATATCCATGCTTCTCTACACCTTCAGGCTAGATATAGGCAGAGAGAAGTGCTGATAATCATGTTTTCATTTCTACTCCCTCCTTCATATTCAGATGTAGTAAAGTGGGGTCAAGTAGGTCCCATAAGCTCTAAGCCCCTCTCCAAAGCCTTCTGGCAGTAGGCCTGACAATGCTCAGAGCATGAGCACATAGTGTCTAGATTGGTCTCCTTAGTCATCTGTCCACATGCTGCCAGCCAGGCTGCTGGCTCGGCTGCTGGGTCTGAGCCAGAGTGGCCATGGAGCAGAGCCAAGGTATTATGAAAAAGCACTAGCTTAGGTTTCACTTCTCTGGGATTAGACTGGAAGATCTAGTTGCCAATTGTCATCAACCAAATTTCTCACACTTTCCCTGATGAGTTACTTTGTTGGTATACAGAGAAAACCAGAGATTTTTTCCCTCCCAAGAAGCTCTGCCTTTATTTTAAATCACCATCCAATGTATAAGAACTTGTGCATTCTACTTGAGATCATTCTAATATCAGGGCATAATGGAAGCATTGTGGAGAATTCCTTTAATAGTACGCATGTAAGGCTTTAACTTTAAAAAAAAAAACTTTTACATTTTGATGCATGTCTTAAATATGCACTTAGAAAAATGATAGTTGGTCTTTACAAATGTCCTGTGTTTTTCTTTTTGAGGCTAGTTCAGTGGGTGCTACTCTTTAGTCCTGTTAGAAATGTTACCAGTCTGTTTATTTTGGCAAGATAAACTGTTAAGACCTGACAAATGATGTCTGCAAAGCACATGCCTTGTTAAGTATATAAACAAGCCACAGATGTTTCTATGGGAAGAAAGGATCCTATTCACTTCAGGATTCCAATGCTTAGCTCTTAGCATTTGATGAAATTATAGAAGGAACAGAGTCATCTTTCCCATTGTTTATAACCAATATTGTGCTTTGGCTTTTTAGCAGTGTTTTGTTTTTCTTTGTCTGTTTTTTTTTTTTTTTTTTTTTGGGGTTTTTCGAGACAGGGTTTCTCTGTGTAGCTTTGCGCCTTTCCTGGATCTCACGCTGTAGACCAGGCTGGCCTCGAACTCACAGAGATCCGCCTGCCTCTGCCTCCCGAGTGCTGGGATTAAAGGCGTGCGCCACCACCGCCCGGCTTCTTTGTCTTTTTAAAAGCTGTATATATTAACTTAACAGAACAATTTTTGTATGTGTGTAACATAGTTTGATCATATTCACCTGAGCCACTGCCGTATTACAGAGTGTGGGCAATGTGGTTTTCTTTTACAAAAACAGCGTCATGTGCTTTTGTTGCATGTGCTTTCATGTGTATTACAGTGGCTTCTTGCAGCAAATAAGAGGAAGCCTGATCTCCTGAAGCCATCTTGATATGTTCCTTGCCTTCCAGCCCATTCCATGTGCGAGGGCAGTGGCTTGTCAGTTGCATTCGCTTTCTTTGCTATGGTTCCAGCTCATCCCCGCCTCCTGGTCTTTGCAGCTTTTTAAGTATAATGTCCTTTCAGCAGAATATTATATCAATCTAGGGAGGGATTTTATACCACAAATAGCTCTGTAGTCTATTATTTGTGTGTCTATCATTTCTTGGAAAATTCTTTGTCTCGGTAGTGTAGTTTTGGTGGGAAAGATTAACTGAGAACTAGTAGCTATTCATGAACAAGAAAAAAATGGGAAATAAAAATTACGAATAACCACCTGAAGTGGTTAAGACCATGGCAGTCTGTGAAGCATGGTGGTCTTGCCAGTGGACACATCTGTGGTATGGTTGTGTGCATGCCCTGGGGGCGAGAGACTCAGCTGGATGGGTGTGCTTATTCCTTTTTTCTAGTTTATCACATGTTCTCCTTTGTAAGAAAGAACTTAACTAATGAAAAGGAAGAACTCACAGAGATCACCAGGCCTGGCTTCATTTTCACATTCTTAAACCACTTAGCTAACTCTATGATGGGATAGCTTTCACATTCTCTAATATTATGGGCTGAGTCAGTGACCTTTATGTTTCTTGGGTATATTCTTTCCTATTATGTGGAATTAGCTGTCCTTTTTTATTAAAATAAATTCTTTCTTGTTAAGGAACTTCTGTGAAGTTTTTTCCCATATAATTCTTAGCTATCTGATTAGGTCAGTTTGTTTTGACCAGTTTTGAAGTCACTTGAAAATGTTGGGCTTAACGTTTGTAGTCCAGTGGTATACATGAAGCTCAAGATTTTGTCCCAGGACTGGTAAAACATACATATATGAAGTATTTATTTCTATATGTGTGGTATATATGCATTTTTCTTAGTTTTCAAATAATTTTGTTTTTACTTAAAAAAGATATTTTCCATAAAGTGCTGAGCAGTTAGTGTTCTAAATTAAACATTAATTCCATATTGCCAAATAATTATTTCTTTTGAAATTTAGTGAAAGCTTAATAAATGTTTAATAATTAAAAATAATTTTCTTCTAAAATGATTTTTAAAGTTGTTTTTTGTGCATAGTTATATAAATCTCACACTGCCCATTTTATTTCTCTAGACATTGTTTTATGAATGCTTTTTCCTTTTAGCTTGATAAGGATGATATGGTATACATGGAAGCATATGATAAATTGCTGGAGTCCTGGCTAACTTTGGTCCAAGATGACAAGCATTTCCATAAAGGCTTTTTTACTCAGCACGCGGTTCAAGTTTTCAATTCCTATATTCAGTGCCACCTTGCTGCTCCAGATGGCACAAGGAATTTGGTAAGTTTTAAGCAAGGTGGAATGGAAAATCACCATAGGGCTCTATTTAATCATATTAGACAATATAAAATACTAGAAATTTGAAATAGGTTCCCTCAAAGATTTGATGAGAGAAAAATGGTTTCTTTTATCTACTGGGTTCTGTCGTGCCAGGTCCCTGGTAACATCTTTTTTTTTTTTTTGGTTTTTCGAGACAGAGTTTCTCTGTGTAGCTTTGTGCCTGTCCTGGAACTCATTTTGTAGACCATGCTGGCCTTGAAGTCACAGAGATCCGCCTGCCTCTGCCTCCTGAGTGCTGGGATTAAAGGTGTGCTCCACTACCGCCTGGCCCCTGGTTACATCTTAAATACATCCTATATTCAAAGGAATAGGGAATCTTAGGATGCCAAATGTTTTAGTGAAAAGTGTCAATCCCCAGTATAAGGGGTGAACTGTAGGTTGGTAGCTTTGTTACCATGTGCACAGGGGAGGGTTTCTTTCTTTCCTTCTCTTCAGTGGTATCCTCATCCTTTTGATGCCTGTCAGGGCTGCTGACATGGTTAGAAAGGAGTCCTAGAAAGCTAAGCTTCAGGTTGGCTCCAGCTCCTCCTGAAACCACTTGACAGGGCCACAGACACACATCCTCATGGGACATGATGCTGCACTTCCTCATTGTTTCTCCTCCTCTCACCAACAGACTGCCAATGGTGTGGCCTCTCGTGAGGAAGAAGAAATAAGTGAACTTCAAGAAGATGATCGAGATCAGTTTTCTGATCAACTGGCCAGTGTAGGAATGCTAGGAAGAATTGCTGCCGAACACTGTATGCCTCTTCTGACAAGGTACACAGTCCCGGAAACCCCACAGAGAAATGCTCTCCGTTCACAGTTCCCCCACCCTGTGTCCCAGGACACTGAATCTAGTGGACAGAAGCATGTCATGATTGCATTCCTTGGCAATACAGTTGGAGCCCAGGCACTACAGCATAGATGGCAGGAATTATGGAAAACATGGCATGAGAAATGGCTTGGAATAACCAGTTTCAGATGCCTTTCGTAAGCATTGCTTGTCATAAAATATAGATTATAATTCCTCTAGTGCACTAGAAAACAGTTGTGTACCATAATGTTTTTGAATATGTACATTTTGTGCTAACATCTTAGTTTATGTTGTTTGGTTATATGAAAATTATCAATTATCCTAAGCCTTCCTATACTGAACTTTATGAAGCTATTGTTTCTTTCCTCTCTTTTTAGTTTATTAGAAGAAAGGGTAACAAGACTCCATGGTCAGTTACAACGACATCAGCAACAATTACTTGCTTCCCCTGGATCAAGCACCGTTGACAACAAAATGCTTGATGATCTCTACGAAGATATTCACTGGCTTATTTTAGTTACAGGTCAGTTACCTTTTTCTTCTTAGAGTGTAGTTGTCAGTGAAACTGTTTACACCCTAAAAGAAGCCTCATATATTAAGAATAATAGTTTAGAGCTGAATGTGTTATTCCAGCACTTGGGAGGTTGAGATAGAAGGGTTGTGAATTTGAGGCCAGCTTGGGCTACGTAAGGAGACCCAATCTCAAACAACAATAAAATATATATAGTTCATACATAGTATTGAATGAAACTTGGATATAGCTGCTGCTGACATAGCAATAGATATATATTTTAAAAACCACTGGCTATTGTATTCAGGGCCTGTTGTATGCCAGATGTTTTCTTTGGATCTCATTGTAGCCCACTGAATTAGTATTGCTGAGTGGTGTTATTCATCATCATCAACATCATCTCCATCTAACAGATGAAGAAGCTGAAAGTATAAGAAATGGTCATACTGCAGTTAACTTTTGGAGCCAGAATGCAAATCTAGGCAGTCTGACTTTTAGGGTCTTTTTCCTTGACCACTAGACCTAATTAGTGTTTCTATATTGTAATCAAGGGGGAAAACTTGGCTTTTAAAAAGTTATGGATGAATAGATTCCTAATATAATAGCAGAATTCCCATTAACTTGACAGAATAAATTACTCAAGTTTTCAAAGCCTACATGTCACCATGCATTATGAAATTGATGACTAAAACATTTGTCCTTTACCTTTGCTGTATTTTTGAGGGTTTTAATTTTCTGAGAAATTGACAGTTTCTGCACCTCATCTTGAAATTAACAGTTTAACATAATTTACTTTTACATCAACCTATGTGATGTATATAAATCAAAACTGAAAGCATTTATAGTGCAATTTGGTAAATAGATTTGTTAAGTGTTCATTTTTAATTTTTTTTAAACTGAAGGCTACCTCTTAGCTGATGATACTCAGGGAGAGACTCCGCTAATACCTCCAGAAATAATGGAATATTCCATTAAGCATTCATCTGAAGTTGACATTAATACAACACTTCAAATTTTGGGATCTCCAGGAGAAAAGGCTTCTTCCATCCCAGGGTACAGCAGAACAGATTCTGTGATTAGGTAATATGAACTCTATAGCTGCGCTCTTGTAATTTATGCTGTCTCATGAACTCTGAGTTGATGGGTAGATGACTGGAGGGGTAGGTACGCTTTAAATTGGATACATGAAAGAAATGAGAACTTGGAGAAGCCTCGAAACATAAGGATGGCAAGGGCACGCTGGCAGGAATTGGCAGGGCTATCCAGTACCGAAAAGAACAAATGTAAAATGATTCTGAATGCAAGACTTGGAAGCGGCATTCACTCTAATTTACTAGGAACACAGTGTTTGTCCATCAGTAAGCAGTAATGATGTATGTACAGGCACCCTTCATAAGGGGAAAAGAGTTCTTAGAAACCAGGTGAGCCATAGCAAGTATACATTGCTTATGCACATGGAAACTGTGTCAGTGGCTTCTTAAGGAAAACTGTCATTATTATATTACAGAAAAAGTTAACCTAAGCATGTGAAAATTCAGAGCCCTGTCCCCAGCAATTACAAGACAGCAAGAGTGCCTCTGAGAGGATTCATTTTCGTCTTCCTATTAGTATTGGCAATGTTTTCATTAATTATTGATGGGGAAACTAAAGAGAGTAAATATGAATTAATTGTATTCTTAGAAATAGGTTTGGAATAGTTTTCCATTGTCTTTCATTGTCTTTGACTCTCAGTGGCCGGTGGAGATGGTAGGGATGATAACAGCATTGGTTGGTTTTTGCAGTTACTCAAGGTTTAGTCCCACTTTTATTTTCTAATGCAAACATATGAGGACATTTAAACCTCTGCAGTAGAAGATACAGTCTTCTGGGTTGTTGGGTTTTTTAAGTTTGAATATTAAGCTGATACCAAGGAAATGTTTGAGACTTTATTTCCTTTATTAGTACATTCTCTTGTTTGCCCTAAATATGAGAATTCTTAAGCAAAGGTTTCTTTGAGGTTGCTGTTGTGATTAGATTTTGTCATTTTGCTTTGGTTCATATCCTGGTGAATGTTATTTCTAGGACTGTTCATTTCAGGGCTCTGCCATAGTGCTTTGTCCTAATTCTTGCAGTAAGTGCCATTAGGAACATTTCCTTTGTATTAGAGGTGCTTTTTCAGTTTTTATAAGTCCCAGGTATCGATGTGGAGGCAAATGATTTTCATATTTGAGAGCACAGACTATGGAGTGTTAGAAAAACAAATGTAAGCTGGGCGGTGGTGGCGCATCCCCTAAATCCCAGCACTCAGGCAGCAGAGGCAAGGATCTCTGTGAGTTGGAGGCCAGCCTAGTCTACAAAGCGAGTTCCAGGACAGCCAAAGCTGTTAGACAGGGAAACCCTGTCTTGGAAGAAGAAGAAAGAAAGAAAAACAAATGTAGTAATAGCTAGGTTTTTGTTTTATTTTGTTTTTGTTTTTTAATCTAAAGAATTAATGTGAAATTGATTATTTGATATATGGGAGAAACAACCTTTGCTTCACTAAAAATGTCCATATTTCTTGAAGAAACTGTCATTTAAGAAAGAATGGAGTATCTTCATGGGTTGGGCACTTTGTGGGCACATGGGATACATTCATGAACAAACAAGGAAAAGCTACTCCCCTTTTAGAGTTCTTCATAAGTCTTAAGTCTTCATGCAAAGACCAGCCATACCTGTTAGGGTCGAGCAGCAGCCAAAATGCTATTGTGGACTAAACAGAGTGGAATTGGTTTTTTATAAGAGATGGACTTGTGGAAATAAGAAGGAGGAAAACAGTTACGGTCTACAGGTCTTGTAAGACACCTTTGCACTAAAGAAGATTGGGGTGCTACTATAAGGTCTGAATAGGGGGGGTAAGTCACATATCACAGCGCTTTCCCTGATTACCATGATGAACGAGTGTTGGAAGTGGGAGACTGCCTCAGGGTCTAGTCATAGTTATCAAAAAGAAACATGACAGTATCCAGACTAAATTACAGCATTGTTGCTTATGAGACTTAGTTAAGAGCTGACTCATCATCTTGACTTTTGGCTATGGGATGCAAATGTAATACAGGACTGATTTTGGAAACTGAGTGCTACCTAGAATATAAAGTATTCATGACAGTATGCTTGACTCAGGTACTGGTCAAGAAATTTTTTTTCCCGGGACAGGGTTTCTCCGTGTAGTTTTGGAGCCTGTCCTGGATCTTGCTCTGTAGACCAGGCTGTCCTTGAACTCACAGAGATCTTCCTGACTCTGCCTCCTGAGTTCTGGGATTAGAGGCATGTGCCACCACTGCCTGGCTCTGATCAAGAAATTTAACAACTACCAATTATTTGGCTCAGTTGTTTCTTAGCTCCACCTTTTGATGGGATTTAAAAGTACAGCAGAGTGGATGGGAGTCCTGCTCTCCCTGATCTGCTGGCAGAAGACTGGGCAGTCAGACTGCTGCTGTTTGAAGGATGAAAGGAAGGAAGGCCGAATGTCAGGCAGTGACAGGGACAAGGCAGGAGAAGAGAACTTGTGTGTGACTGATTGTGGGGTGGAGAGGCACTGGTTTTCATAGGTGAGGCGAGGTAGGATTTGTAGGAGGGAAGTACGCTGTTCTGTAGTCACTATCTTGTGGAAAGTGGAGTTAGATGTGACAGGGCACATGGGAAGCAGTTACTTTTCAGTCTTGGGAGAAGATGGAAACTGCCTCTCCAGTTTGAGAGGGGTTTTCCGAGAGAGCTCTCCAGGCTACTGCTGATTTCTGGGCACAGTGTAGAGAAGGGGTGCTCCCTAGGGCTGCCTGACCTCTGTAGCTTCTACCGTTTCACCTTTCTTCACTAGACAACGGAAGGCTTGAGCTCACTTGATCTTTACGGACTCGCAGGTCTGTGGGTGCCCATAGAGTACCAAGGAAAAGGGCAGTTCCAAATTGACGGTTGGTGATGGCTGTGCAGCCAATGATGCAGTCCATTGCATCACATAATACCGAAGGCGGCCCAATACTGGGTCAGCTAGGATGACTTTTGATCTTGAGTTTTGTAATATGACTTGTAAGTAATTCAAACAGTGGATGAACTGGGTGTTTGAAAATAACTTCTGTTTTTTAATGGGAGTAAGTTTTTTGTTTTTTTGTTTTTCCCAGGGTTTACATCTCTTAAATGAGAAAGGGATCAACTTTGGCTCATTCTGGCAATAAGTAATATTCATTCACAAGTATATAAACTAAGTGGGAGACATAAAACCCTTCTGTGTTATCCCCAAGAAATACTCAAAATTGGACTGAGAATGTAGCTCAGTGGGAGACCACTTTGCCTAGCATCTACAAGCTTCTGGCTTGGAGACCTGGCACTAGAGGAAATTGTTTCATAATTTAAATTTGTGTTACATTTTGTGCTACTGTATGCTGTTAAGTATTATAATAGTAAGTCAATCCAGAAGACCTTTAAAAATACTTACAGTTTTTTGACCATTGGAAACTCATGAAAAGTATAATATGTAAATGTCTGTATCAAAGAAAATGGTGTAATTGGTAAATAATTTTTGGGAAATAAAGTTCAAATAAAGGAAAATTTGTTTGTTGTGAATAGACACTAGTGGCTGTCAACACTACAAAGATTGAATGCAATGCATACGTTTAAAATCCTAATATAACCATTTGATTTCAAATTCTGTTAGACTTTAAATTATGTTTAATATAGTTTAATCTTATGGGAAATTTTCAATTCATCATTACTGATAAAACATGAGATTACTAGGATTTCTGTTATTTTTGTTCACATACACTCTAAAATTTGAGCACTGGTTTATGAGGAGCATGTAAATAGTAAGGGGCAGGGGAGGAGGTTTTTAGGTGGAAACTTTTCCTGATTAAAGAAGGTCCAGAGAAGAATCTTAATAAAGACTGGAAACAGTAAACAGACAGATGAGGGGGACGTGATTGTGGGGTGGAGAGTGGTACCCAGGCAGCCAAGGGAGGGAGCTCTTTCAAAGGGGCAGGATTGGCAACAGCACTGAGTACTTCTTGGTGAGAAGGTCAATAAAGAATGCACATGTCCACCAGTTTGATTACACAGGGATCTCAGCCTATTGAGAGTAGAAGGAACGGAACAGAGGCCAAATTGTATCGATTAAAATCTTAGTCTAGGCACTGACATTTATCACAACCTGTGCTTCCTTGTCTTTTGGCTAAAGTCAAGTTGAAAATATATAATTTCTAGTATGTTCCTTCCTCATTCCCATAACAATATGTGTACTTAGGTAGGTAATGGTTCTGAGAAGGGTTTTATTTTACGATACCATTAGGAATCAAGATTATGAGACAATATTCAAGATCATGAGATATGTAGGCAAGGCTCAGTACTTACGACATTCTAATAAGTCAATTCTCAGATCTTAATGCATAACAGACTTGTCTTTTGTGATACAAAAATTTAAACTGCCTACAGGAGGAGTGCTGAAAAATTGGCTTAGTCTCTGAACATTTAATTCTATGTGTTCCTCCATTTTGAATTGGGAACTACGCTCTAGACAGTGATGCTGAGATTTACATCTGCAGTTAGAGCCTGAGCAGAGGGTGCTTCTCATCCCTCCTTTTTCTTGACTCTGGAAAACCAGAAATAATGTGGGGACTTTACCTGCAACCCTATTGGGGGAATTTTCACACATAGCCTGGCATAAAGAAACAAAAAGAATTTTTATGGAAAAAAAAATAGGGTTAGCAACTTATGTTTTCTCCCCACAGGCTGTTGTCTGCTGTGCTAAGAGTCTCAGAAGTTGAATCTCGAGCAATAAGAGCAGATCTCACTCATCTACTAAGCCCTCAAATGGGCAAAGATATTGTTTGGTTTCTAAAACGCTGGGCCAAGACTTATCTCCTGGTAGATGAAAAACTATATGATCAGGTGAGGATGTAAAACCAGTAACTTTTTGAGTTTATGATGATGGCAAGTTTAGAGGTAAGAAGATTTTTGTTTGTTTCACTTATGAAAATGGAACTATTAGCAGGGTTTGGTGGAGAGGCAGGTGGATCTTGGAGTTTGAGGCCAACCTGGTCTACAGAGTGAGTACCAGGATAGCCAGGGCTATACAGAGAAACCCTGTCTTGAAAAATAAAAACAACAACAACAAGAAGAAGAAAATGTAGTCAGAACTGTTTAAGAGCTGGGAGAGACTTGGGACTGGAGTGCTATTGTATTACTTTTCTTAGAGCATTGTATTTATTTTAAATATCAGTTTGCTAATAATTACTGAGACTCAAACTGACAGAAAAATTAGTTGAAAAAACATGGCTGGATTGGGGATTATCTTCCTGATTCAACAAATGAAAAATAATAAAGTAATGTAAAGTGAGCACCTCCTCAGACTTGGATGCTAGTTTCATTGTTGATTTGCTGTAGATTGCTTCTTAGCTGATCTTTCTGACTTTAGAAAATGTATCTCTTTTAAGATAAGTTTGCCATTGAGCACAGCCTTTGGAGCAGATACAGAGGGCTCCCAGTGGATCATTGGCTACCTCTTACAGAAAGTCATCAGCAATCTGTCAGTCTGGAGTAGTGAGCAGGACCTTGCGAATGACACTGTACAGCTCCTTGTCACATTGGTTGAAAGAAGAGAAAGGTAAGGAATGGGGAGGAGCACAGATTTCAGTTTGCTCTTTAGTGACTGGCAAATGGTTCCAATATCTAAGCCCAATTAGAACCTACGTTTTCTTTTTCTTTCTTTTTTTTTTTTTTTTTCTGGAGCTGAGGACCGAACCCAGGGCCTTGCACTTGCTAGGCAAGCGCTCTACCACTGAACTATATCTCCAACCCAAGATCCTACATTTTCAGAGTAATGTTTTTAAAACCTCATCACAGTGTTGTTATGGATACAAATGGCAGCTTCCCCGGGTAATGGTGGAGAATTACACTGGCTTTCAGCATCAGAGAACCTGTTTGAAAAACACTTTCAGGAGCTGGAGAGATCTCTCTGAGAAAAAGAGCACTGGCTACTCTTCCACAAGACCTGGATTTTATCCTAGCACACAAGTGGTAGCTCACAACTCCAGTTCCAAAAGATGCCCTTACCTGGCCTATTTGGGTATCAGCACACAATGTTCACAGACATACATGCAGGCAAATATACTCATACACATAAAATAATAATCTCTTAAAAACCCACTTTCATGTATTAAATATTCTCATTTGATATTTTTCAGTCCCACCACACATACACATCTTACCCCCAAGTCATCGTCCCCGCCCCCTTTCTTTTCCCCAAGACAAGGTTTCTTTGTGTAACCCTAGCTAGCCTTGACCAAGCTGGCATCAACTCAGAGATCAGCCTACCACTGCCTCCCAAGTGCTGGCATTAAAGGTGTGCACCACCACTGCCTGGCTCAGTGATTCCATTTATTGGGAATCAATAAATGTTTAAACTGATGTTGCAAAGTTAAACTTTTTTTGTACTTTCTATAGAAAATTGTATTTTTCTTACTGCATAGGAATATTATTATTGCTAATGCTATTGACTTTGAGTATTGCACATAAAGGATCTCACATGAGCATGAGATTCAGAGCTGTACCTGTCACCTTGTTTTCCCCAGAGAATCTGATTCTATCTCTTCGGAGTAGAGAAGGCAGCAACAGACCAGGAACAAGCCCAGTTTGTTGGAGCAGTGAATGTATTAGAGTTACCTCCAGGAGTGTGGGTGCAGGGTTATTTGCAGGTCAGCTGCATCACCAAAAAGCACACTCCTCCACTGGGTGACCCTCACGACAGCTTACCACTGGAGCCCCTTGCACAGTTGGGGGCAGCCAGAGCACTAAAGAGTCTGCTTAGCCAGCAATTGATTACCACAGATAGAACCTGAGAGATGGGCTTTCTTAGAAGTTACCTAAACCTCTTCCCTCCCTTCACAAGGAAATGGCTATACAGCCATTCTCATTTTACAGTCAGAAAATTGATGATAAAAGAATTAAGTATAAAATTATATGTTCTTGAGCAATTGTTAGGATTGAATTGAAGACCAGTGTAATTCCAGAGTCCGTGTGAGCTTTTGATGCTTTTCTTTAAAAATGACATTCATGGGCTAGAGAGATGGCTCAGCAATTAAGAGCTCCCAGAGAACCCAGGTTTGGTTCCCATGTTGGGTGGCTCACAACTGAAACTCCAGCTCCAGAGGACAGACCCAGTGTCATCTTCTGGCTGCTACAAGCACCTGTACACTTGTCACATACAGACACACATACCCACACAAATAAAACCTGAATTACATCCAGGTATACCGTATTCTCAGTACTCGGGAGGCTGAGGCAGAAAGATTGCAATAAAGTGGCCAACCGGAGTAACACAGTAAGGTCTTGCCTTAGCAGATTTTAAAATTAAATGTTCCCCCCCTTTTTAATGTATGTGTTGCCTGCATGAGTTCATGTGCACCACATGTCTACAAATGCCTGGAGAGACCATCAGATCCCCAGAAACTGGAGTTACAGGTGGCTGTGAACCACCATGTGAGTGCTGGGAACTGAGCCCAGGTCCTTTGCCATAGTCACTCTTAACCATTGAGCCAGCTCTCCAACCCTGTCCAGTTGTTATTTATGTATGTAGAACATAAATATTTATAAATGTATGAACAAAATACAACTTATGTTTTATTATTCCTACCTGTAGGGCAAACTTAGTAATTCAGTGTGAAAACTGGTGGAACCTAGCGAAGCAGTTTGCAAGCCGAAGCCCACCTCTTAATTTCCTATCGAGCCCAGTACAGAGGACACTGATGAAGGCCCTGGTTTTAGGAGGTTTTGCACATATGGACACAGAAACCAAGCAGCAGTATTGGACGGAGGTAAAAATCCCTTCTCTTTTGATTCTTCTGTCATCCTACAGATGTTAGAGAATAGTCTGGAGACATAAACACCTCAGCAATGACTTATCTCGTGTTCTTCCTCCTCATCAACCATTTCACACTTATTACTTGATAAATACTGTCTCAGGACTTACCCAGCCATGCTTGTTCAACATACTGAGTGTTACTAATGCTTTCTATGCTTCGAGTACATTTTTTCCCAACTCGGATGAGAGAATGAATTGGTGTATCTTTATCAGAATGTGAAAAGCATGGTGGATATCTTAGAGATAGAGTTGTATTAGCATGCCAAGGCCTTAGGTTAGTCAGCCTGTCCCCAAAAATCGAAAGAAAAAAACTGTTACATGAAGAACTACAAGGCATTCTTTGCCTTGAAAGGGAGATGCAGCCGGGCGGTGGTGGCACACGCCTTTAATCCCAGCACTTGGGAGGCAGAGGCAGGCGGGTGTCTGTGAGTTCGAGGCCAGCCTGGTTTACAAAGTGAGTTCCAGGAAAGGTGCAAAGCTACACAGAGAAACCCTGTCTCGGAAAAAAAAGAAAGAAAAAGAAAAGGAGATGCAAATTCTAGTGTGTTTGTTTCCTGGCACTTCTCTTACCACAGTGGCCTAAGGTACAGATTCTCACTGTCTTGCGTTTAGGAGGCTTCCTAAATGTCCAAGGAAGGTGTTCATAGCATTCTTTCTGAGGTCTGCCAGGATGAGTCTGTGGTTTCTGGGAGTTAGTGACAGCTTTTGGCACTGTGTACTCTGCATCCCAGTTTCCTCAGTCTATAAGACACTGTATTGGAGTACGGGTACACTCTCCACTATGACTGAATCCTGACTTACTGCATCTCAGTTTGTTCAAATGAGGTCACTTTCTGGGGTTCTAATTCAACCCATAGTGTGGTCACCTTCTGTAATAATTTATATCTTGACTCAGGTGTATATGTAGAGATCTGACTTCTTTCTAAAGTGTTCTCTCCCTCTCTCTCTTGGTTTTTCAAGATAGGTTTTCTCTGTGTAGCCCTGGCTGTCCTGGAACTCCCTCTATAGACCAGGCTGGCCTTAAACTCACAGAGATCCACCTGTCTCTGCCTCCCAAGTGCTAGGATTAAAGGTGTGCACACCACCCAGCCTAAAATGTTCTTAATATCTGTGAAGGTAGTATCTATGACTTCATAGCTAAGGTAAAACAGGCTGACTTTTTTTTTTTTCCATTCTCCCCTGGGTCCGTAGAAATGGTTTGGTGGTTAAAAACACTCTTCCTGAAGATACAAATTTGGCTCCCAGCATCTACTTTGGGTGGCTCCCAGCTTCCTGTAACTCCAGGTCTAGAAGACCTGATGCCTCTGGTTCTGTGAGCACCTGCATGTATGTGCATATATCTACCACATACAAGTGTACACATGTAGCCAGAGGTTGACCATAGTTATCTTCCTCAGTTGATTTCAATGTTTGAGAGAAGGTCTCTCGCTGTATCTGAAACTCTGACTTTAGCTAGACTATCTGGCCAGCAAACTCCAGGGTCTTGTCTCTGTCTCCCCAACACCAGGATTATAGGCACTCAGCTTCTATGTAAGTGCTTGGGTTTGAACTCAGGTCCTCTTACTTTATATGGGGACTTGCTTACTTTTCTGTTCTATTGCTGTGAAAATACACCATGACCAAGGCAACTTACAAAGGCAACTTATAAAAGAAAGCATTTAATTGGGGGCTTGCTTACAGTTTCAGAGGATGAGTCCATGACCATCATGGCAGGGAGCATGACAACAGGAGGCAGGTATGGCACTGGAGCTATAGTTTACATGTTGAGACAACAACCATGAGGCAGAGAGAGGCAAACTAGTAGTGGTGTAGGGTGACACACCTCCTCCAACAAGGCTATACCTTCTAATCCTTACCAAACAGTTCCACCAACTATTTGGAATCAAACATTCAAATATATGAGCCTATGGGGGTCATTCTCACTTAAACCACCATATGTGGCAAAGTACCTTACCAACTGAGCCATTTCTTCAGCCCTATAAACACCCAGAGCAGGACTGATTATCTGAAGTTGTATTTTATACCAAGAATTGTAAGGAAAGGGAGGAAGAAGGAAAAAAAAAAAAGACAAGGATATTATATTTTTAACTGTATTGTATTAGAAATTGGCAGACTGGCTGCTGTTTGTGTAGCTAAGCCTTGACTAAGTTCTTGCTCAGTGTTTATGTGGTTCCACTGAAGTGCAGCGAATACAGTACTTACTTTCTGGCCTTTCGAGAAAAGGTGTGGTGATTCCCTACTGAGGAGTTCTGATTTTATTTTTTCAATTTTTATGATTCTTTGGCCAGTCACCTAGAAAAATGTGGAGAGATGTGGCAGAATTCAAAGAATGAACTAAGTGTGGTATACATGCATGTGTGCATGTGCACACACACCCCACTATAATCTCATTCCTTCTGAAGCAGAGGCAAGAGGATTGACACCAGTTTGAGGACAAGCAGGAACACACAGTGAGACTACTGGAAAACAAATAGAGCCTGGAGAAATGGCTGAGTGGATAGATAGAGCACCTGTCCCACAAATACAAGGACCAGAGTTCAGACGGGTGTGCATGAAGGTTCACTTCAAATCCTAGGGCTTGTAAGAAAGAGGATCACTGGATACCTAGATTGGCCAAATTAGCAAGCTCTGGATTCATCAAGATACCTTGCCTCAGTAAAGTGGATACTCGATGTCAACACACACGTGCAATAAAAACTAGAAAGAAATTATGAAAGAATAAAAGTTTAAAAAAAAACCAAAAATTTTTAAAGAATGACATTTAAAGAACCCTATTCTGTGACTTGGGTGTCATTTATATGTATATGGCACAAGGTACAAAGATTCTCAGAATGGACAGTGTACCTCAAACCTGTAATTCCAGCACGTAGGAGTTTGAGACAGGAGCCCTGAGAAGTTGAGACCAGCCTGGCTACCTAGTAAGACCCTGTTGCAAAGACTGAAGGGAGGAAGCTCAGTGGTTCAGATAGTCCTTGTTATATGTGTTCATCCTGTTCCCATAAAAATATTTGGGGAGCCAGGTGTGGTGGCGCACGCCTTTAGGCGGATCTCTGTGAGTTGTTAGGCCAGCCTGGTCTACAGAGCAAGTTCCAGGACAGCCAGGGCTATTTCACAGAAAAACCCTGTCTCAAAACAACAAAACCAAAAACAAACCAGGAACCAAGTGTTCCTCCAAGTTGAGGAACTGGGTGTGCGCGTTCGGAAGGTCATGCTGTGATGTGCCTCCACAGGTTCTTCAGCCTCTCCAGCAGCGGTTCCTGAGAGTGATAAACCAAGAGAACTTTCCGCAGCTGTGTCAGCAGGAGGAAGTCAAGCAGGAGATCACTGCCACGCTGGAGGCCCTGTGTGGCATTGCTGAGGCCACACAGATCGACAACGTAGCCATTCTTTTTAATTTTTTAATGGACTTCCTTAACAATTGCATTGGGTTGATGGAAGTTTACAAAAATACTCCAGAAACTGTCAATCTCATTATAGAAGTTTTTGTTGAAGTTGCACATAAACAAATATGCTATCTTGGAGAGGTAAGCACTTTCTAGTTTTTTTTTTTATTCCTTCAGGATTACAAGTTTCTGAAGTAATGATTCTCCATTCTTGGTTTCACATTTAATGCATATTTTTATTTCTCCAAAATAGGAAGTCATGTGGAGTGAATATAAGTTCTAACTCCAAAATTTTATTGTTAGAGAAAGGCTAATATATTAAATATAGCTATACTCTTACTATAAGTATCCTTGGTCTTTGGTTGTTTAGTTGTTTTGTTTTTGAGATAGGGTCTTCTTCCTTTGTAGTCAAGGCTGGCCTTAAACTCACAGAGCTCCATCTTCCTCTGCCTCCCAAGTGCTCAGATTAAAGGCATATAATACCACATCCAGCTCTTTTTATTATTGTTAATGCTCTGTGTGTGTGTGTGTGTGTGTGTGTCTGTCTGTCTGTCTGTCTGTCTGTCTGTCTGTCAGAGGTCAAGGGTGGGTAGCTTCCTGTATTTTTCTCCACCTTACTTTCTGAGATAAGGACTCATCCTACAGCTCACCAAGCCAAGCATGCCAGCAAGGCCCTCGTCTCCTCCCCTGGTACTAGGATCACAAGCATCCACCACCAGGGATCTGCACTCAGGTGGTCATGCTTATTTGGCAAGCACTTTCCCAACTCTCAGCCCTTCGATATTGTTAATATAGAGCTACTGTTATAATTTAGAGTAGATTGAAACTTTGGCTTATCTGCTAGATCCTACCAAGTAATATCACTCTTCCTGTTTTCTTACAGTCCAAAGCTATGCATTTATATGAAGCCTGCCTTACTTTGTTACAAGTGTATTCTAAGAATAATCTAGGGCGGCAAAGGATAGATGTCACAGCAGAAGAAGAGCAGTACCAGGATCTGCTTCTCATTATGGAGCTTCTTACTAACCTTCTCTCCAAGGAGTTCATAGATTTCAGCGACACAGGTAAAGTCTCTTGGAGTAGTTGTTGTTAAAACTGCAGGTTGTTTTCTCTAGGAGGGAGTTCAGTTTTACAAAACAAATGGAAGTAAATCCCTTGGTTGAAATGAAGGTAGAGGTGAAGTCCTTCCCTAGTCTACTTTTCAATATGAACATGAACTTTTATTTAGTTAATTCTTTTTTTTCTGTACAACAATCAACTTATTACACAACTATCACACAGATGCTTTTTATCTAAAGGAGAAATGGCTTCTGCCTTCTTTTCTCCCCGGTTTTGCAGTTCTTAATGAATGCCAGGTGCTACTTTGCTCACAATGCCATGCAGCAGGTGTTGTTGCTAATTCTCACTGTACTGATGAGGTAACAGCATAGTCATTAGGTCGCTCACCCATGTGCATGTAACTAGTAAATTTGAATTCACATTCAAATCCTTGTATGTGTATAGAGCAATGGTTCTCAACCTGTGGGTTGTGACCCCTGCAGTAGCTAGCCTGCATATCAGATAGTTACATTATGATTTATAGCAGTGGAAAATTACAGTTATAATTTAGCAATGAAATAATTCTATTGTTGGCGGTAACCACAGCATGAAGAACTGTATTAAAGGGTTGCAGCATTAGGAAGGTTGAGAACCACTGCTTTAGAGGGAATATCATTGTCTCTTCCATTGTCCTTTGAGATGATTGCCCATCAAACCCAGCATGGGAAATCCCATTGGGGTAAGAAGTACTGGATTCCAGACTCGATAGGCTATCTAACATGGTTCTCCTATAGCATAATACGGGGATAGAAAGCTCATTTCTGCCTTTCTGCTATCAGTGGGTACAATAATAAAAGACCTTTGTGTCTTACTAGCAATTGCTTGGTAATTAGTAGATAAAAAAATAATAGTAACTGTACTTACAGACAAGAGCTTGATCAGTCAGTAAAGCTCGTTCACTTGTGCAGTTTGCCTCCACTATTACTGAACTTTCTTGCATGTTCTCCAAGTTTGTTCTCAGAGGGACAGGCAGGCAGAATTGCAGCTGCTTCAGAAACAAGAGGGGGAGGGGCTGTGTACACCAGTGCCTTTAATTGCTTCCCCTTGCCTCCGGGGCAAGTGCCCATGTTTGTCTCTCCCCTCCTAGTGAGCTTTACCTCCCTGCCAGCTTTGCCTTCAAACCTGAGAGAAGTGGGTTGTTTTATAAGAGAAAACACCATAGTAGCATTGCCTCAGGGTGTGCAGGCATTCGTAGTCAGAGATATTTTTTGATTTCTTCAAGGTTCTCTAAGCTTCTAGCAGCCCACATTAGTCACTGTGTCTAGTCCTTGAGATTGTTCTTGCTCTGTTGACTTTGTTGGTTCATTTTCCTTGTTCACTGCGTGCCCTGTTAGTTTCACAGTTCAACAGGCTTATCCAAGTTAGCTGGAGGTGCTGAAGTGAAATGCCAAGGCATTAAATGTGTTAACTTTGATTTCTAGAATGTCTCTTGCCCTCACTTATCCACTATTACTGTATCAGGTACTAAGATTCCCTAACAAATAATATAAAAGGATGGCATGGGCTGGGCTTATCAGATTTCTCTGTTATTCATTAATGGGTTTCTTGGGTCTTTGAGCTTGACTATATTTGTGTTTTCGTAAAGGAATATGAGCTTTGGAGATTTAAGTTACGACTGTACAAGTATGCTTTTTATTTTGATAGATGAAGTATTTAGAGGACATGAGCCAGGACAAGCAGCAGGCAGATCTGTATCGGCAGCTGATGTCGTTTTATATGGAGTAAACCTAATTCTGCCCTTAATGTCACAAGATCTTTTGAAGGTAATTAAAATAATATGAACATGAAGAGTATTAACAGTTTTGTATTTCTACTACAGTTTACTGTGCTTATCTCTCAGTACACATGCCCTAGTCCTATGTGTACAGATAATTAATGACTCATTTCGTCAGGAAGTACCATAGGAAAACAGTTCTGCTAGCAATTTTAATTCTCTTTAGAATTTGTCATTCTGTTTTTAAACTTCATTTTCAACCAAAGGAGCCAGCCATGGTGAATATTTTCTAAGCCTGTGCATGTAGAAATGGGATGGTAGAAACAAAGGTAATTTAAAAATTTTTGCACATTATGACTGTATTGTGCCATGGTTCTACCAGTTGGTATTGAGGGTCATGGCCACTGAGGTTGCCCTTTACTCCTTCCAGAAGTGCGCTAGGGGAGAGGTCTTTTGTTATAAGTTATCACAGATGGGTAAGATCAAGAACAAGGACACACTGAAGAAGAAAGAGAAGGGTGTGTGTATCTGTAAGTGTATCATATGCACGTGTGTATACTCCTGTTTGTGATAAATCATGTGGAGGAGATGTAGTGGGGCAGGGGAGCAGAAGCAAGCATCTGAGTAGTGAGGATCAGAAATGTTGGGGTGCCTCCCTAGGCTCTCCCCATGTACATTCCTCCCTGAGGAATGTCTATTGGGCAGTTCCTGCCAACCCATGAACCTAGGGATTTGTAACAACTCTTAGGATGAGTGTTTATTCAGCTTTGTACACTGGTTTGCTTTTAGTGCCTGTGTGTTCCATTAAGTCAGCCATCGTAAACACTTGGTACACATTTTCTCTGTGGCTAGACTAGAAACTACTTTCCACTCAGCTCTTCAGAGCTGTCCAAGTAGACAGATGAAAAGTACTGATTAACACATTAACAAAGGACTTTGTTCCCAGATCATTTAGTTTTTGTTTGACTGCCTTGTTTATTTGTTTAGGGTCAACATAGAATATCAGAACTTGTCTGTATCTCCTATTAACCTTCCAGAAGATAATTCTTTCTACTATGTATTTTTTATAACAGCTACTGAAAGATTCCCTTTACTGTAACTTATTTTACATTTCTTTAGGGCTTAATGTTTCTATATATTGTATACATCTTAGAGAAATCATTATACTACTTAAAAGCTTGTTAGTTGTTTCATTTTATTAGATAGTATTGAACGTAAAAATATTTAATGTTTCTTTTTCAGTTTCCAACCCTTTGTAATCAATACTACAAGTTGATCACATTTATTTGTGAGATTTTTCCTGAAAAAATACCCCAGCTTCCTGAGGATCTGTTTAAGAGTCTGATGTATTCCCTGGAACTAGGAATGACATCGTATCCTTTAAATGAACTTTGTTATTCAAGGAGGGGCATTTTTGTTGAATGTTTTTTAAGTGATTGGTTTTCTTTTATAGTTTAATTTTATTTCTTCAAAAACCTACCTCTGTAGCTTTAACTCTCTCTTTCTCCCTCTCTCTTTCTCTCCTTTCTTTCTTTTTGTCTTTTTTTTCCCTTGAGACAGAGTTTCAGCCCTGGTTATCCTGGAACTCACTCTGTACACCATGCTGGCCCCTAGGCTCAAAGATCCATTTTTCTCTGCCTCCCAAGTGCTGGGATCAAAGGTTTGCACTGCCATGCCCAGCTCTAATTTTGTTTCTTTTGTGGATTTGCATGATCATTTCCTTTCATACATGTAGCACCTGGCACCTTGTCTTAAAGTCATTCCTTCATTAGGTCATGTGATGTGTTGTAGCTGGTTCTCTAGTCTTAGCTTGTTGGCATTATAATGTCATCATCTGTGAGAGCATCTGCAGAAACAAGCTAGACATCACTAGACCTATACGCAATACTCTCAGAGGCCATTTAATATGGAAATATTTCTTTCCTAACTCAGTTAAGACATTGCCATCTGGTCTATCCCCACCATCTATATTCGTTTCTACAAATAGTCATGTATATAATGTAGCTGACACTTTTTTGATCTGTTATGAAGTCGGGTGTGTCTCATATAGTTTGCTCTTTGACCATTATGTTCAGAATGAGTTCAGAAGTGTGCCAGCTCTGCCTCGAGGCCTTGACACCATTAGCCGAACAATGTGCTAAAGCACAAGAAACAGATTCACCTCTTTTTCTAGCAACTCGGCACTTCCTTAAGGTAAGGTATTTGGTGGATAGCTTGAAGAATCATCTTCTTAGCCAAGCTGAGTGGTACTTGCCTGCCATGCCAGCTAATGAGGCTAATGAAGGAGTATTGCCTCAGTTACAGAGTGAGTTCAAAGCCAACCTGAGCAATTTAGCAGGACCTCATCTCAAAGTAAAAAGAAGGGGGCTTTAAATGTGTGTGTGTGTGTGTGTGTGTGTGTGTGTGTGTGTGTGTGTGTGTGTGTGACCTGTCTTCATGCATACCAGAAGAGGGCATCAGATCTCATTATAGATGGTTGTGAGCCTCCATGTAGATGCTTGGAATTAAACTCAGGACCTCTGGAAGAACAGTCAGTGCTCTTAACTGCTGAGCCATTTCTCCTGCCCAAGAGGGGACTTTTTTGTTTTTATATGTATGGGTGTTTTGTCTAGATGAATGTCTTTGTACGACATGAATGCCTGGTGCCTGTGGAAACCAGTAAAGGGCATCAGATCCCCTGGAACTAGGTTTACAGACAATTGTGAGCTACTATGTGAATGCTGGGAACCAAACCGGAATCCCCTGGAAGGGCAGCCAATGCTCTTAACCATTGAGCTATCTTGCCAGGTCCATAAAATTCCTGATTCAAGTGTATATGGATTTGGTTTGGTTTGGTTTTGGCTTTTTCAGACAAATTTTCTCTATATCCCTGGCTGTCATAAAACTTGCTCTGTAGACCAGGCTGGCCTTGAACTCAGAGATTCTTCTGCCTCTGCCTCCTGAGTGATAGGGTTAAAGGTGTGCACACCACAGCTTTGTTCACTGTTTTTTTCCCCTGGAGACCAGTTCTTCAGGAGCATGTTCTCTTCCACTTCTTTTTTGTGTTCTTGAGTGACGTTGTAAATATGGGGAATTCGGTACTATTTTAGACTCCACAGAAAATAACATCTGCATGTTTTCCTTAGATTCAAAAAAATGATTTAATAATTAACTGGTTAATGTAATAAATAAACTATAACTGCCATCCCTTTTTCAGGCAGGGAGGGACTAGAGTTTTAAATAATTATTCTCTATTTTAAAGCTCTGTCTTATTGTGTAATTTCAGCTGGTTTTTGATATGCTGGTATTGCAGAAGCACAACACAGAGATGACTACTGCAGCTGGAGAAGCATTCTACACGTTGGTTTGTTTGCACCAGGTACTGGACACCCCTCTCTCAGGTCCACCAGTTCTTTGTGGATCCAGAACTAGGACTCAGAGACCCAGTTCCATGTCCTCGATTCAGTGTTTCTCAGCTCCCTCGTGAGCTCTATGATTGTATTTTGTATTTATCTGACAATCTGTCAGATCACAAGAATTTATTTTCCTTCTCTGTTATGAGCCATTCTTTGTCACAGTCCCCTCTTCAAAGCTTAGCTTTAATCATGTGTGCTAGGAGCCAGGCGCATGTACACAGTGATTGCTATCTTTGAGAAACTCAGTTTCATAAAAGTGGAAAGGTGCATCAGAGTGGGAGCAGGAGTTTGCCTCCAGACAGTGTAAAGAGTAGAGTATTACTTGGTTTAGTGTTTTGAAAACAATGTGTTACGTATTTTGTTGAACCTTTAAGATCTTAACCCATCATTCCTGTGGGATTAATGTAACAGAAGCTCACTTGCCTCCTAACCCTGATAAAATGCCTATCCAGTGTACAAAGGAACAAGTTGGGGAGGGTGCTGCCTGATCTTCCACTGCCTTATACCTTTTAGTATTGCCAAGTGATTGGTGGGAGAAGCTGTCTTCCTAAAAGCAGTGGTTTTCAGATCCTAGTCATTATGTGCCGTGTGTACCCCAGGCTGAAGGGGCTCTCGAGCTCCGTCTCTTGTGCTGTGCTCCTGTGGCAGCTTCCTACATGTATTTCCTTTCAGTGTGTGCTCCTTTCTGCCATCTCGGTTACTAAGACAATGGGCTTCCTTCCCCGTGGGTGTAAGCCAGTGCATTCTGATCTCCTTGTCCACTGTCTTAGACTGTGTACCTCGTAGAGAAGCTCAGGGGGGCCAGGAGGGTGGCTGAGAGAGCACTTCAGGTATTCGCCACCAAGCCTGACAGCCTGAGTTCAATCTTTGAGTCCTACATTCATGGTAGAAGGAGAGAACCAACTCTGCCAGTTGTTTACACACAGAGAAATAAATGTAAACATGTATTAGAACGAAGACAAGCATGGTGAAAGGAGATGACCAACTCCTGCAAGTTATTCTCTGACAAGACATGCACATAAATGAGTGTCAATTGTTTTGTTTTGTTTTGTTTTGCGTCCCACCCCTATCCCCACCCCACCCCCCGGAAAGACAGAAAGCAGAGAGTGGGCACTTTGCAACAGCTAGTGTAATTCCTGCTGCCCAAACCCAGAAGCACTACCGTTTCTGGGCAGTAGGAAGATGATTTGAGATTATACTGGCCTCCTGCTATCCTTTGGAGAGGGCAGCTAAGGTGCCTGGTTCAGTGCTATAGACAATGGGAGTGGGGATTTGGGAAGCTCTACCCTACTTCTCGTTGCTCTATATAATATCTGATTTCATCATTTTGATGTTGTGATATCCCAAGAAGCTCAGGAGAATTAATGGCAGACCAGCTTTCTCCACAGCACTTCTCTGGCCTAGGTGACTTTCCCTCCAGCCTCTGCCCACTCACCTGTATGCTAATGTTATGAGAGAGGATACCAAAAACAGAAAATGCCCCCCACTACATTATCCCTGCCCTTTAACCAAAGCCACTAGTACAGTGCTGGTTTGGACTTTCAGAGTGCTCTGCCTCCACTTGGAGAGGGCTCTCAAACCTCCACACTGCTGTGCCTCTGCTGTCCCTGGAACTGGGTGCACAAGGTGTTTGCATAAGCCACTAGAGAACTGTTCGCCTTCCCATTACAGACATAGAGGTTATATCCAAAATGCAGACTAACAAGAAAAGACAATCCCGCAAAGCTGGGACCTCCTGGGTCTGGAGCCAGATTGCTTGCACTGTTGCTTCATTACAGTGTGATTTTGAATGTGCTACTTCATCTGGCAGAACCTTCATCTGTAAACACTAGTAGTGTCAGTCTCATAGCAGCAGACATGTGAAATGAGTTAACCTACAGATGAGTGAGAGCAGTAACTGAACACTGAACTGTTGGAAAGAGTCGTCTGCCCTGCGTCAGAACCAACTCCATAGTCCCTGCTAGCATCCCCAAAGAAGGCATTCTTATGGCTGTCTTGTTTCTTCTGCAGGCTGAGTATTCTGAACTGGTCGAGACATTACTGTCAAGTCAGCAAGACCCAATCATTTACCAGAGATTAGCAGATGCCTTCAACAAGCTCACTGCAAGCAGCACTCCTCCTACCCTGGACCGGAAGCAGAAGATGGCCTTCCTAAAGAGTTTAGAAGAATTTATGGCAAATGTTGGTGGTCTCCTTTGTGTAAAATAAACAACAGAGCTATATTCTTAACTTAGATCCTTTCTGCAAAGTGCACTGAATTGCTGAAAGTTGACTTGAGTCTTGGCCTGTTCCTCAGTTCATTTGACCATTGGGATTTTGGAGAGTCTGAGACTTCGATGTGGAATTTGGTGAAACGGGAGAAGTCAACTTAAAATCAGCTTCTGTTATTAGGTGTTAGCCATGATCTGCCATATACTTGTTTTCTAGATTCTGAATGGTGATTGAAAATTTTAAAATGCAATTCCATATATGTGCAAACAGATATGGGCACCATGAAATTCATATTCAGTGCCTTTTGCCCTTTTATCAAAGCATGGGTGACTAGCCAAAGGTGGTATGTTCTTGGCATTATTTTTCAAATGTCCATAGATTCCCTTCATCACTTGGGGAGCTGGTTATAGAAGTAGACACGTGGACCCTGCTGTGCATCGGCAGAATATTGGTTGTTGGGCCCTGGACTCTCCATTTTAATAAGCTCCTCCCCTTCGTTATCCTAAACGTTTTGAATCAATGCAAGAGATAGTGAAAACTTGTAAGAGATTTTGTGCTTTCCAACTCTTCCTCCCTTCAGTGATTCTAATTATGCAGGAAGAAAAAATCATCATTGGTTAGTTTCATAGTTCATCTTCTCCCTCTTCCTCACCTTCCTTCCCTTCCGTCCTCAGCGTTGCAAGTTTTGTGTAATTATTGCAGGTTTCTAATCAGACTGTGATGCCTGAACTTGAGGAAAATACGTGTATATTTTTGTTCCGTAAAGTTAACTTTAGGAACTGTAGCCATTTCATTGCCTTAATTTTAAGAGGAAAAGACAAACCAGATTTGTTTTAGAGAGAAATTAGTCTTGACACTTAAGAGTTGGCTTAAGGTATTAGCTGCTAAGACCCTCTTGCCCCTTTGATTATGTATTTATGTGAGTTTCCCAGTGAAATGAAAGGAGCATCCCCGTGTGGTTACCTCTCTGTGTCTCTGTCCAGCCACACAGCCCGTATCTACTCTGAATGCTTGCTTAAGCAATAACTTTAATGGATGTGAATTACCAGTTCACACAGACTATTGCACATTGGGGCATTAGGGGCAATAATTATGCTAAAGTGGGTGTTATCCTCAATGTCAGGAGGATACTAATTAGGAGCCACACTAATTCAGTTTCAGAGACTAAAAATTTAACTTTAGCCAGGCCTGGTGGTGAATGCCAGGCTAGTCTGGGTTACAAAGTATGATCTGTCCTTTAAAAAAAGAAAAAGAAAAATTCACTTTAGGTCCTCTGGCTTTTCTAATCAATATTTTTATACTGCTACTGTGCTCCACTTAATTTTGAGTGCCAGTTTTAATTGTGAAAATGAAAGCGCATTTATAAACAGTAGTTCTCTCAAACTGTCCACTGCAGGACAAGTCACCCAGTGCAGTGGCAGTAAGAGGCCTCTGGCCAGGTGCATCTGAGACTGCCGTGGAGGGGCAGGCTCCTCTGCTGTTCTTGAGGCCTCTCTGCTAAACCATCCAGCGGGTACTGCCCTACCTGAAGTGCACGGTGTGTGCATCTTAACACCTGATGCTCTGGAGACTTTGTGTAACTCTGTTAATGGAGCATCCTGTCCCTGTGATGGTAGGTGTGTGTGGATGCAAAACAGGGCCGTGACTTTTGGAGAATCTTTCTTCTAAATTGATCACCATTTAGTAACAGTAAGTATGGAGAGAGAAAAAAAAAATCTCTAAATACTACAAAGAAGAAAAACAATATCATTCTCTAGCTATATATTTTGTATTTTAAATACTTGGAAAGGAGTGCTTTTAGATTTTTTTTCTCTTAATTTGAAGTGATCTGCAGCAGTAATCACTCTGTTTTGTGTTGTTCTTGACGTCTGTGTTTCCTCAGCAGGTGTGGTTTGTGTGTACCGTGTGTGTGATAGATATGGGCCTTTTGCCAAAAGGCACTAAGATACAACTGAATAGATGGGTCACTGGCCCTGACAAAGCAGTTGTCAAGTTCAAGTAGAGATGGGTAGGAAAGGATGCTTTGGTAAGTAAAAAGGCATCTGTGTATAACTTCTATACAGACAGAACTATATTTATTAAATTGCCCAGATCCTAGTATGATACTCCAATTCTATTACACCACTTTTAATTGAAGGAAGACTTATTTTAGATTGGACCAAATAATGTTTAAATGATCACCAGAATGTTGATTAGTGGCCAACTGAGGGTGAAAGACCACCATATTTCAGATAATGGGATTGCCACTTAATCGTACCAACTAGACTTTTCAGAGCGTGTGTGCATTTGTTTGCTTTATTGAGTATTTGTTTCTGTTTGGTCTTTTATTTTGCCTGGTTTTGTTTTTTAACTTTGTGAACTTCTGAACTTCATTACTGTTCTACTTTCTTCTTGATACTCTTGACCCAGTAGGTATTGAGGCCACGGGCTTCATGGTCATGAACTAGTTTTTCCAATTCAAATTGACTGTTGTTGAAAAATATTTTTAAAAGAAAAAATCATTTGTGCCCTTTTAAAAATATATGTTAAAGGTACACTGTATAAAGTATTTGATTTTTTCATCTTTTATGTTAAATTTCATTTGTTCATAGAGTATCTTTTAACCTCTATTTTTCCATATTTTTGTTCATGTTGCCTCATTTTATGCTTCTTGACCATTTTTTCCCCAGGGCACAATCACTAATCACAGAGTCACTAGGGAGGTTGTATGCTAACAGTGGTGCTGCTGTAACAACTCCTAAACTGTGCTCTTGTTGGCCTCTCCAAAGGGTACTTTGATTGATGTCTTTGTTTGGGTTGGTGTATTGGACAGTGTCCTTTCTAACACAGTAGTTGAGTCTTATTCTGGTGGAAGACTGTTAGGTCAACATGACTGTATTGTTTTTGTCTGATACAAATGACATTTTGTGTAAACTTTGTAAGCTTTTCCTCAAATTTAAGAACTTCAAATTTATTTTATGGAAAAATATCTAATGAAGATCAGATACTCTGTCACAATTTTTCCTTAAAAACCGAGCCGGGCGGTGGTGGTGCACACCTTTAATCCCAGCACTCGGGAGGCAGAGCCAGGCGGATCTCTTTGAGTTCGAAGCCAGCCTGGTCTACAGAGCAAGATCCAGGACAGGCACCAAAACTGCACAGAGAAACCCTGTCTCAAAAAAAACAAAACAAAACAACAACAACAAAAAAAACAGATCTATAATCTTCCCCACTCAGCATCTCTCAATGCTCTTCCTGCAGCCAGGGCTATATAGTAACCTATCTCTCGTCTCTGTTAATACGTGTGTGAACCCCTCAAGTACTGAAGTGCTGTCAATTTTGAATATTTCAGGTTGGAATCTCCTAGGGGATAGGTATTATTGATTGAACCCTGAAAATATTTCTGTTACATATTTACATATATTTTGTTTGCCATCTCTGTTGTTAGAGGTGATTGTCATTGGCCCTTCCTAAGTTAGCTGTGTCTTGTGAGTGATTATCACTATCGGTTTCTCAGTAAAACATGGAGCATTTCAAGTCTGAAGGAACTGCAGTGTTGCACAGAGATGTCTCTTGTTTTTTTCTAAGAGTAAGGAACTCATTTGGATAGAGGTTTTTAACATTATAAATTTTCTATAAAATTTCCCAGAGAATAACATGATTTTGGGATGTAATAGTATTTTTAAATTATTTGACAATGTAAGTGGGTATTTTCTAAATTTTTCTGAAAACACTGCATTTCTTTAAAACTTGACCTTCTAGAATTAGAAAGAAAAATGTCCAAATTAGACATCTTGCTGAATTCAAGTTGATTTAAAGGGTCATGGCTCAAGTTTAACTTCATTTTTCCTTAGGCATAAGAATTGTGAAGTGTTCCTGGTTGATTATAAGAGGAAACCATGACTTATATAGCCAAAGAGTACATTTGGTTCAGGTCAAAATAGAAGATTAATAATGGACATTCATTTTGCTAGTTTTGAAGATGAATGAAGAAATGTTTCTGTCCTATAGATGTGTATATGGAAGTCTCTGTAAAGACTGAAATACTCAGCTGTGGTGGTGATTCCCTCCTGTAGAGTGGGAGATGTGTGACTGGCACTAGGCAGCTCTCTGTACCCACTGTGGCCTGCTCTTCACCTGTTCCCAGAACTTCCCAGTTGTGGGAAGGTTTGGATTTCTTGTCCTGTCTGCATTTTTAGGCCTCTTAGCTATTAGGAGCTGTCAGATATGTTCTGGCAGCTAAATTCCCTCGCCTGAAGTAATTTACCATGTCTGCACTATGTACCTACTGGGGGTGGGGGTGGGGGATCTGACCTCAAGTGTGCTCTAAGCCCAGGTTTCCTGGTGTGGTGTCTTTTACCACGAAATTATGACAAATTGCAAATCCTGGTATTGTGAGCTTATTCTCTGTACAAAAAAAGAAGTTCTATGCAGTGAGCTGTGGTATAATGGTCACAGAATGTCAGCACTGCTATCATTCAGCACGTGTAACATTTTTAAATTTATAAATATTAAAATTTTAAACTTACACTAAGACTTTTTAGTTTTCTTTTTTAAAGAGACCCAGAGATGAGTATCCTGTCTAAATATTTACCTCTATTAATATAACTAATGAAGGCATTTAATTTTTCAAAAGATACTGCAGTATGATTTTAGGAAATAAACCAAGGCTATGTGTTAAGCCAATTATATCCTGAATATCAGATTGATAAAACTTTATTTGTATTTTTTAAATCCTCAATGGGCGTTAAAATGTGTTTTCACTAAATATTTTTATTACATTTTGGTTTGACCATGTGTGATTTGTTCATGGGTGCTGTATTAGTGTTCTGTTGCTGTGAAGAGATACTGTGACTGCGGCCTTTCTTATAAAAGAAAGCATTTAATTGGGGGCTTGTTTACAGTTGCAGAGGTTTAGTCCATTAGCCTCATGGCAGGAAGCATGGCAGCACCTAGACAGACATGGTGCTGGAGAGGAGCTGAGAGTTCTACATTCAGATCCGCAGGCAGTAGGAAGAGAACATCACTGGGAATGGCTTGGACTTTTGAAACCTCCAAACCCATCCCCAGCACCACACTTCCTCCAACAAAGCCACACCTCCTAATCGTTTCCAATAGCACCACTCCCTGGTTGCCAAGCATTCAAATCTATGAGCCTATGGGGTTCATTCTTAATCAAACGACCACATTGCACTCCCTGGCCCCTATAGGCTTATAGCAATATCATAAAGGATAAATGCATTCAGATCGACCTTAAAAGTTCCCATAGTCTGTAACAGTCTCAACAATGTTTAAAAGTCTGAAGTCCAAAGTCTCTTCTGAGACTCCTGGAACTCTCTTAACTGTAATCCCTGTAGAAATCAAAATCAGAAAGCAGATACCATACTTAACATACAATGGGACAGGACATATGTTACCATTCCAAAAAGAAGGAAAGGGAGCATAGTGAGGAAACACTGGACCAAAGCCAGACCAAACCAGCAGGGCAGACTCCAAACTCTACATCTCATGTCCGATGTTCAAGCGCTCTTCAGATCTCCAACTCCCTTCAGTGTTTATGATTGCCGCATACCTCTGTCTCTCTCGGGCTGGTTCTATTCCCTGTTAGCAGCTTTCCTTGACAGGTATTACACATCTCTGATATCTCCAACATCTTGGAGCCTCCAAGGAAATCCAGGCTTCACCTTCACAGCTTCACACAATGGTCTGTCTGGGCCTCCATGCAGGGATGCCCCTAACACATTCATGGCCTCAGAAGCCTTCTTTGGCCATGGAGGGAGATTCCAAAATCTCTTTGTAATATTTTTTACTCTACAGGCGGAACCACAAGTATTGTGCCAAGTGTTGCTGCTTGCTGAGGCAGGAACATGCCCCCCCCCTAGTTCACTCACATTTGCACCAGCTTTCTGTTGTATCTGATGGTTTCCTTCACCACTTCAACTTGTCTTTAATCCCTTCCACAAGTTGGAAGCTTAGCTGGGTAGGGTCTTGTCCTCACGTCACTACTCCCTTTATTCCGTTTAGCATCGGCTCTTGTTTTTCTCTTTGATCTCCTTGAGCACTGAATTTGGCTCCATGCATTTCCTGGTGCTCCTTTTTTCCCAAAACTGTGCATTACCTATATTTTCTTGCTCAGCTTGCTCCTTTTTGTTATAGATCTGCTTAAGAGTGACCATTAATAACCACACAACAGAGTCAGTACTAGGCTGTCTTAGAATCTCTGCCAATGCCAAAATAATTCAAAACTTCAATTTAGCCTCAGGCAGTTTTTTTTTTTTTTTTTTTTTTTTGAAGAGGCCAGGAAGCAGCCACATTCTCCACCAAAATAACCAAAGAGCAGTCGTTAGGCCACTTACCAATGTTCTTAAAACCTCTTGAACCAGGCCATCAGAATCTACATTGCTCTCAGCACCACTCTGCCATGCTTCAAGTTTGGCTCATTAAGCACCACTAAAAGCACTCAACTGCTTTCCTAATCCAGAGTCCACATTCTGCCCACAAACAGCATGGTCAGACTTGTCATCCCAGTACTCCACTTCAGGTAACAACTTCTGCCTTAGTCAGTGTTCTGTTGCTGTGAAGAGACACCGTGACCACAGCCTTTCTCGTAGAGGCTGGCTGACAGTTTAAGGGTTAGTCCATTATCCTGGCGGCACACAGGCAAGCATGGTGCTAGAAAAGTAGCTGAGAGTTCTACCTCCAGATCCACAGGCAGCAGGAAGAGAGCACCACTAGGCCTGGCATGGACTTTTGAAACATCAAAGCCCACCACAGTAATATACTTCAACAAAGCCACACCTCCTAACCCTTTCCAATAACACCACTCCCTGGTGGGCAAGCATTCAAATCTACAAGCCTATGAGGTTCACTGTTACTCAAACCACCTCGGGTGCTTAGGGAAACTATAACTGAAAGGTGCTTATTGATTGGCTATAAGATGATGGGTAGACACTACACTGAGTATGTAATACATTGCTAAAATAATTTTTAAATGGGTGATTTTGTGTGTGAAGAGTTTATGTGGTTAAGTACAGGTGTCTTCAACGCCAGAAGAAGAAATTGAATCCCCTTAGAGCTCAGATTACAGGTTATTTGGGAGCTGATGATGTGGGAGCAATGTGTGTTCTTAACCTCTTTGCCATCCTGCCCCAAATTCACCCCAGATAATTTCACAAGGAAACATCTATATAACCAAAAGCATGATTTTCATTACCTTATGGGAATACCCAGATCCTCAGGATATCTAGTATTCAGAGGGAAATCAACTTTATATACATATAAACTATATAAATATATATGTATATATCAATTATATATACATGCAGTAGGGAGCAAATTTCCTGTGTGCGCGTGCTCACTCCTGAGCATGTGAGCCCACCTGGAGCTATGTACAGAGGCAAGAGGAGGATGTTACGTGGCTTGCTTTATTACTCTCTGTCTTAGATCCTTGGGATAGGGTCTCTTCAGTGAACCTGGATCAAGGCTGGCAGCCAGCAAGCCAGGATGATCCTTTTATCATCCCTCCCCCAAATGGTGACAGGGTTACAGATGTACACAGCAACGCTAGGCTTTCTGTGTGGCTGCTGGAGTTTGAATTTGGGTCCTAGTATATGCTGAACTTATATTGAGTGGTTTGAGTTTGATTAATAGTTTGGCATGTTGAATCCATTATGGAACTGGTTAGTTTGGGTTTGTTTGTTTTGATATTTATTAAATGGGAGATTCTGGATGGGATCTTGTGCCTTCTGTATTATCTAAAATGACATTTCTATTAAACTTTATTTTAAAACTAAGTGAAAACAAAGGGCATAGTTGGTCAAATCCAAGAGGAAAGCCATGTGGTGAAATTCTATTCTACACAGTACATTTGAGATAAATCTGAGCATACAAATCCACAACCTGCTGGGCACCTCTGTGTTGAGTGGATCTCAACACAGAGCATGAGAACCCACTGAGTAAAGTCACTGGTGTTTTCAGAAAGTGATGAGGAATAAAGACAATACTGGGGCTGGGGCTGCAGTCTGCCCACAGCCGGGGTTCAGGTCCTGAGATGGCATCCCTGGGGGGATGTCAGCAGGAAGAAATGAACTGCCTGACTACCAGGTGAGTTTTACTGAGAAGTTTTTCCCATCCCCCAACGTTAACCTCCAATAAAAACAAATATGTCAAATAGGTTTTTTCCCAAATTTTACATCAAAACATCTTTAAACCAAAACAACGCTTAAAATTTTGCTGGCTTGGTCAAATATTGAACCAGGTACATTCTGTCTTTACAAAACTAAAGGTGATTGACATAGGCACACATTTTCAAGAACAACATTCCCGTTCAAAACATATTTACAGAAATAGGGGTAATCTGCCTCCAATCCTGACAGCACTGAATTAGAACATCTCAGGGTCTGAAGTGACAGTTGGCATCCCCCAGACAACAAACCTGAGAAGCATCAACTCCCAGAGAATTTTAGAGGAAAGTGAGAAAAAAAAAAAAATGGGGTTTTCAGAAATGATCATTTCTATCCCATGCATGATTGACAAAGTGACACTAAAATCACCAAGAGAATCATCAATATTACGAGAGAGAAGGGAGAGCATGCAGGCTGCGCAGTCTCAGCAGTATTCTGTGCTGTCCAGAAGTCCACTGGTCCTTGCTGAGTGAGACTGTCCCCGTGGGCTTTTGCCTCATCTAGAGAACTGTTGGACAAGCACTCATGTACTGGTCTGAAATTGGGCCACATGGCTCCCAACAGGCTGGAGAGATGGTGAAGAGCACCTTTTCTTTTTTTTTTTTTTTTTTTTTTTTTTTTTTTTTTTTTTTTTTTTTTTTTTTTTTTTTTGGTTTTTCGAGACAGGGTTTCTCTGTGTAGCTTTGCGCCTTTCCTGGGACTCACTTGGTAGCCCAGGCTGGCCTCGAACTCACAGAGATCCGCCTGGCTCTGCCTCCCGAGTGCTGGGATTAAAGGCGTGCGCCACCACCGCCCGGCAAGAGCACCTTTTCATGAAGATCCAGGTTTGATTCCCAGCACCCATATCACCATATGCAATATATAACTCCAATTCTAGAAGATCCAACATCATCTGTCCTCCTGGGCATTGAATGCCTGTGGTGCACAGCCATTCATGGGAACAAAACACCCACACACAAAATAATGAAATAAAAACAGTGGAACTTAGTAGGGATGAGTATTTTATTAGGGTGCTTTTTTTTTTTTAACGTGTATGTGTAAGTGCTTGCTGCTTTCATAAATGTATGTGCACCATGTTCGTGCCTGGTGTAGCTGCTTTCATAAATGTATGTGCACCATGTTCGTGCCTGGTGTGTGGAAGACAGAAAAGGACATAAAATCCCCTGGAGCTGGAGTCACAGGCACTTGTGAGTCACCAGGTATGGGAGCTGGGAACTGAATTTGTCCTCTAGAAAAGCAGTTCCCATTGTCCCATTTCTCTAGCCTCCTGTCTTAGTTAGGGTTCCTATTGATGTGAAGAGATACCATGGCCATGGCAACTTTTATAAGGAAACATTTAATTGGGGC